GTCTGTATTATCTGACAACTATATTAGATAGTGTCTCACCATGTCTGTATTACACTATATTAGATAGTGTCTCACCATGTCTGTATTATCTGACAACTATATTAGAAAGTGTCTCACCATGTCTGTATTATCCGACAACTATATTAGAAAGTGTCTCACCATGTCTGTATTATCCGACAACTATATTAGAAAGTGTCTCACCATGTCTGTATTATCTATCTATATTTTTCATGTCTGTAGATAGTGTCTCACCATGTCTGTTTATCTGACACAGTCACCATGTCTGTATTATCTGACATCTATAATTAGATAGTGTCTCACCATGTCTGTATTATCTGACATCTATATTAGATAGTGTCTCACCATGTCTGTATTATCTGACAACTATATTAGATAGTGTCTCACCATGTCTGTATTATCTGACAACTATATTAGATAGTGTCTCACCATGTCTGTATTATCTGACATCTATATTAGATAGTGTCTCACCATGTCTGTATTATCTGACAACTATATTAGATAGTGTCTCACCATGTCTGTATTATCTGACATCTATATTAGATAGTGTCTCACCATGTCTGTATTATCTGACAACTATATTAGAAAGTGTCTCACCATGTCTGTATTATCTGACAACTATATTAGATAGTGTCTCACCATGTCTGTATTATCTGACAACTATATTAGATAGTGTCTCACCATGTCTGTATTATCTGACATCTATATTAGATAGTGTCTCACCATGTCTGTATTATCTGACAACTATATTAGATAGTGTCTCACCATGTCTGTATTATCTGACAACTGTATTAGATAGTGTCTCACCATGTCTGTATTATCTGACAACTATATTAGAAAGTGTCTGATCATGTCTGTATTATCTGACAACTATATTAGAAAGTGTCTGATCATGTCTGTATTATCTGACAACTTTATTAGAAAGTGTCTGATCATGTCGGAACGTAGCTGTGTAAAAACAACATTCTGTTTAGTTTTTCACTCTATGGAAATAAATCTTTTCCTTTTGACAAAAAGACACAATGGAGAGAAGTCGCTTATATCTATGTAAGTAGCAGCAACATTAGCATTGCTGAGAAGATCATTTGCTCCCATTTAAAAATCCTGTGTCAACATTATCATATATGTTTTATAAGCTGTCCCCATATTGTGTGTATACAACCTAGGAGATTAAATGTTCCTCAGGTTCATTATCTTATGAAGTGGCTCCAGTTCAAAATTTTGAATTTGAGGATGACTCAATTATATACAGAACATATTCTGCGGAATCATATCAGTATAATTTCAGATATTTTCAACCTTTAATTGAAAAAAGGTGTCCATTGTTGAGTGTTGTCATGGTAAAATGTATGTGTGCAAGGAGTACTCACCCTCCCCACTTATCCTGTTACAGTCCAATGAATTTGAAAGGAGGTGGATAGGAGAAAGAAGGCTCCCTACTGTATTTAAACTAGAGGTTAATAAAATCACTTCACAACTCAACAGAATGAAACTAACATCTAACAATGTGTATCTATTGCTGACTGTAAGGCAATTCCATGCATCAATACAGATAGTCCTCACATTTTTGTAAATGGATGTATCTCAGGTTCAAATCATTTATTTTAAGCTCTTGATAATGAAAAACTATTTGAAATTTAAGTTCAGTTACTCTAAATTCAATGATATGAGTTCAGATATTTATTCATTCTTGCAGTTTCACTAGGACCAGAAATGAAGGGGTCAGTATGGTTAGTGTTAAATACTGTTGGCTGATGGAACATGCTCCTTTGACTGGTAGAGCCGTGGATTATCACACCATGAATCTAGGAATGTTTTTCCATGTTTCATTACACTTATATGCCTCTGTCTTTGTTTTCCTAGGATTGCATCACTGTGAGCAATCACGAAGCTTACATCCAATGGGTCTCAGAGCTACTCATCCCTGGGGCATCACAAAGCTACATGTCCCAAGGTCACTAAGCTACATGTTCCGAGGCATCACAAATCTACAGGTCTTGAAGGTCGCAAAGCTACATGTCCTGGAGGTCACTAAGCTACATATCCTGGAGTATCCAAAACCTACATGTCCTGGAGTATCCAAAACCTACAAGTCACAAGGTGTCCCAAACCTACATGCCCGTGAGATCACAAAGAAACATGTCCCAAGGTGTCACAAAGCTACATGTCCCAGGGTGTCACAAAGCTATGTCTCAGGGTGTCCCAAACCTACATGTCCCAGGGTGTCACAAAGCTATATGTCTCAGGGTGTCCCAAACCTACATGTCCAGGAGATCACAAAGTTACATGTCCTAGGGTGTCACAAACCTACATGTCCCAGGGTGTCACAAAGCTATATGTCTCAGGGTGGCCCAAACCTACATGTCCAGGAGATCACAAACCTACATGTCCTAGGGTGTCACAAAGCTACATGTCCTAGGGTGTCACAAACCTACATGTCCCAGTGTATCCCAAACCTACATGTCCAAGGGTGTCACAAACCTACATGTCCAGGAGTATTCCAAACCTACATGTCCCAGTGTATCACAAACCTACATGTCCAGGAGTATTCCAAACCTACATGTCCCAAGGTGTCACAAAGATTCATGTCCCAGGGTGTCACAAAGCTACATGTCCCAAGGTGTCACAAAGCTACATGTCCCAGGGTCTCATGTTCTTTATCTGTACTTATATTGATTCCTATTTTCTGGTAATGAAATGACTGACAAAACAGGTCCTTCTAAAGACCTTCAGGGCAATTCAAATCTCTACAGAGCAGTGTAAGGGAGGCAACTGCATTATGGAAACTATTTACTGTGACTGCCAAAGAGTTTTCATTATACTCTGTCTCAACATTGCCCATCAAATGTTATCTTATCTCTGTCCTAATATGCATTTCCTAATTGATTATTCATCAGTAAAGATAATTTAAATTGTCTCTTTTTAAAGATAAATATGGTTGTGTACCATATAAACCACATTTTAATCAGAATCTGAAGTACCATAAGTAGTGAACACAAAGAAAAACACTCAGATAGACCAACAGACAGATAACCAATAGAGCTGCCCCGTGTATTATTGACAAAGGAATTACGTAGTATTTGTATGCCTTCAATATCCTGTTTTTCATATTCTGTATAAAAAATGTTTATTCTTGTGCTGAAGACATTTGATCTCAAATGAATTACCACAATCCGTTGGATTCCGCTGGACACCAGTTAACAGAACAAGAAAAAACACATTTGAGCACCGCAACAAGAATCAGACATAGGTTTCAAGTGCTGTGCCAGAGAAGAATGTTGTGTCAGCTGAGTAACAAAATCTCCATTTAACATGATTTACAAGCAACACTTACCTGCTCCTTTTAAACTTCCTAAAAACTTGGGTTGTAGTTAGTGGCCAACTCTGTAAGGAATCCCAAGTGATGTGCCACAGTCACAACTGATTCTACCATTGTACATCATAATGATCTTTTTTGTTCTTTATAAGCTGGATAATTTTCTGTCTTTTCTCTTCTTTCCTCTCATTTGCTCTAAATTAAATGATTCTTGAGAACACCTCTCTCAATAATACATCTAAACTGTCAAATTCCAGATGGTGGCCTCTCATCCATTTTGTTTATCAGTTCTAAGACAGACAGTACACAACTTGGCTCTAAGGACCCAAAGGAACCTACAAATGAAGTTTAGGAATGATCCATTCAGTACTTCTCCAGAAATGGGGATAACATAATATTCATTTTCAAAATCCAAGATGGCTGCCTACTGGCCGTTATTTTATCAGTCTAATTGTTGATAATTCAATACAATAGACCAAAAGTAAGCCACAGATGAAATTTAAGAAATCCAGTACTTATCAAGCTATGAATGTAGCAATTTTTCATATCAAAATTCAATATGGAAGCCTCTCAGCAATTTTGCTTTTGTGATAGTGCAAAAATGATAATAATAATAAAAAACAACAACAATTACGGACAAAAAGGACCCTTCATATGAAATTTGATAAATATCTATTGTGTACTTTTTCAGAATTAGCAACAACAAACTTTCAGAGTCAAAATCCAAGATCCTTTCAGCTATTTTGTTTTCTAATTAGTTGCAAAATTGAAATGAGAAACTTATGTATAAAAGACTGAAATTTATCCACTGATAATCTGCTAGAAATAGCATTATAACAACATATTTTCTTAGTCTAAAAATTCAAATGGTCACCTGTTGGGGATCTTTCTATCAAAGTTGAATGATCCATCCAATACTTCTTAAGAATTATCCTTTACAGGAATGGTTTAAGAATGAACTACCAACAGCTGATGACAAAAAGATGGACATAAGTCAATTTGATGACGAACCAAAAAAGCCAGCTCTGTAGAGGGTTCTACAAGTCATACCATAGAAACCACTATAATAAACATACCATATCAGCAGGGGTCCCACATTACATACAACCATAACCAATTTTTAAAATGCCTAATAACCACAAGGCTAAGTTAGGCTAAAGGGGAAAATATGGCTATAGTGGGTAAAAAGTAGTTTCTGTTAGAAAATGTACTACAGTAGAGGAAAGTTCATTTATCTGAAATAAAATGGAAGGCTGCTTGACTTATCAATAGTATTTTCTAACTTTAAACATTAATATTAGTCAAGTACTTACACATGTAATTTCTATGACCATCTTTTATAATGGTAAGATATTAAACTGATTATAGTCGTACAGTTAAAAAAATATTCTTCTTTTTCGTATGAAGTACACCATATCTATTTTTTGCTACATTGCTAAGGGCTTAAAAAGTGTACAAAAAAGAAAATAGTGATATCGATACAATTAATCTGATGAAATGTGCTTTAACGGTAGATAAACTAAATTTACTTGATTCCCACTGACTCATCATATCCATATCCATAATTGATTTTTTCCCGCTTGGTCAATCTTTTCGTCGTGTTTTCATTGGCTATCAGTCTAGCCGGAAGTGTACGAGTGATTGACGAGATTCGTGATTGACGCCCCTTTTTCCGGTACTGAAAACTTATCAGCTGGTGCTGTCTGGACTACCAAAACATTTTTACGTTCATCGTTGACACAAGGTTAGTGTGATATACAAATACTTACGTCAGACTCAAAGAAAGTAGTGGTAATGGGTGTGTGACACGTGCGAATTATTCGAGGTGACGTGGGCACCGTGATATTGCCTGTGGTGACATAACGTTGACAGATCAATATTATTTTTAAACATTTGTCAGTTCATGTGCAAAGTTTATGTTCAGCTTTAAATTGTTTAGATATCAATTGTTCGTAAACATTTACAATTTCAACAAAAGCAAATGACGGACGCCGTACATAATTAACGAAAAGCGAAAGTGAAACTAGAGTAATATTTTGGAAAAGTAGGAAATGGCTGGACATTGGAAAAGACGGTACACACTCCTGTCCTTATCCCTGCTCTTTTCATGTTTCCAAGTCACTAAAATTTAATGTTTGTGGTATATGAAGAACTGTCTTGTGCATCAAATAATGATTGTGAAGAATAAATTTGTAAGTTTTTATAAAGAAAGTAAAGTGATAATGCAGAAAGCTAGGACGACGGTGAATCATCAAATTGAATTCCTTTTCGTCTTATCCACATACAAATAAAATTATTACAAAGATTGATGGCCTATTGTGTCCCTCAAAGCGTCTCAACAGAAGTCAAACATGGATCATCGGCAAGATAACCAGCATACCCACCTGAATGAAAATACATAAGAGAATCTAAATTTATCTAATTTGATTTTAGGTCGTGTTTTTAAATTGAATAGTCTCACATTGTAATCTCTGATAGGTCAAAACAACAAAAGTCTTGTGATCACTGAAAAGGATATATCAATGATATAAGATTTCTTACATCATCACTGCAGCTATCAAATTGGTATATTCCTGTATTTCATTTGCAAAATGCAATGAAAGTGTCTTTTAATATGCTAGTACATGACACTAATGATGTTATATAGTTATACTGTTCACACATATTGTGATGTAGGTATAGTTAACTGGTGTAATTAAGAGCTGTGAAAACTAAGATATAACAATGCAGTAGATCTACAGGGAAAGTCTGATGTTAAACAGTTGATATCTGCGAATGCATTCAATTTTGTGTATATAGATCATCATGGTGAGGAAAGTTCAAGGCTGGTATGAGCAGTTTTGTTTTAAGGACTCTTATATCTTAATAACACACTCGAATAATTATAGCTGGAATAAATAAGGATCCTGATTAAACAGGGGCAGGTTTTGACAAGTTTTTAAAATATTCCTTGAAGAATACTTGTAATATTTACGTACTCTGTATTTGCTTGCTGCATTGATAAGGTACTTTTCTGTCCAAGGCTGATGTTGATGCCCCTGTATATGTCAATGCATCATGTAAGGATTTGTTTCCATTCTTGTCTTTCAGATGACCATTGTATACAGTTGTGTGGCCAATGGCACTACTGTGCTGTGTAGTCACCAGATAGGGGCAGGTTCTTTTGAGACGGTTGTGGAGTCCATACTCCGAAACATCCCCACACGTAATGATGGCAAAACAACCTACAGTTCTGACAGGTGAGTATCATTCTAGCCTAACAGCATGTTAGAATCACCTATTTACAACAATACACCAAGCTTTGCATGTGTAGTTGATATATACATACATATCAATATTTTCACAATAGTTACAAGGTCAAGTAAACAGAAATGTTTCATGTGAAATGCATGCATGTGTAGAATTCTTGCCTTTCATTCATTTTTTTGTTTGTTTGGTTTCTTTTTGGTTTTTTTTTAACACTTAAGATGCTCTCCTGTCTCATACTTGCCCTGGTCCCTTTGAATTTTGGTAGGCATTACCATCATAACATCTATTTGTGCTTTCTTGATAAGAAATTATTTACTACAATTTTTTAATGAGTTATTGCCCTTTGGGGTTGTTTTTTGGTTCATTTGTACCTGTTTACATGTATTTCATCTTAACTTAGGAGTTCAACTTTTTGTTTTTTCAACAAATCTCTTTCATGTTGAGAAGTTTTTCGTTGTGTCACTTAGTTATGCAGTGTTTTGATTGGGAGATTTTATTACTTTGACATGGGATGAGCTTACATTATTCTGCCCCTAGTAAATTTTTTCAACTTTTTGTCATAAAAATGTAAGAGTATGTTCATTTTATAAGATAGCTGTTTGTTTACTGAATAAATTTGTTTACTTAAGAAATGGTATGTTATGCTGTAATGTAGTTATTTTTAATTCAGTTTGTTTATAATTTGAAATATGTATTTTTTATTTATTTGTACTGTTATTGCTAGGCACGCTGACTCAGTAAATCACTTCAGTACATGTTCATTTTTTCCACAATCAACCACTAGTTACATGACAATGAAAAATTTCAAAAACTTCTTTTAATTTTTAAGGCCACATGACCATGGGTTATAGTGACCTATTGCAAAACTCATTCTTTATCATTGTTGTCGGTCATGCATGAACATGGTAACTGGAGTAAATATGAACAAATTTGGATGAAACTTTCTACATGACATACCTTACATCAGTAAGATTTCGAATCACTTTGATAGTGGGACTGATTTGATTGTAGCTGACAGAGTTATGGCCCTTTGCAGTTTTGTAACCATGGACCTCGTGAACACAATGATTTAAGTAAACAAGGACAGGTTTTGATGAGACTTGGTATGCAACCTTATATCAATCAGAACTAAGATATGTTTGACAATGAAACAGAATATATAGTAATTCACGGAGTTATAACCACTGGCAATTTTACTGCCACTGGACCTTAATTGTGATACATGAACAGATATTGATGAAAGTTGTAAGATTTTGCAAGAGTTTGACAATGGGACTGATTCAAATGTAACTGACAGAGTTATGGCCCTTTGTAGTTTATATTCAGTTGAGATTAGTTAGGTGATCATTTTAATTTTTCTTTATGACCTACAATGATTATTTTCAGTGGTCAGATAAAATCAGCAACAGCAACATTAAGTGTTAACTCTGATAAAACATCATATACATGATTGTACTGATAATGAGTGATTTAGTCAGCAGGCCTGGACATTAACACTAGTTATTAGTGGTTATTTGTTAATTTTCTGTTACATTTTATTTCCTTTTTGTGATGTTTTCAGTTATATGTTCCACTGTGAAATAGCCAATGGTATCATTTTCCTGTGTGCAGCGAAGGCAGACTTCGGAAAGAAACAACCTTATGCATTTTTAGCTGAGGTACTGCACATGTTTTGAATACTTTGTTTTATGTGGGTAACAGTTTTCTAAACGGATCAAAGATATTGGGATTTATAAATATCTTTTCCAACCAGTACTATTTTACAGGTATTTGTGAAATATCTTGTTGTGAACATGGATACCAATGTATGTTATCAATACTATCCAAATTTGGCATGTTGCTAAGAGATACCCGATAATAAATCAATGTAAATGGTACCAAGACTAGTTTGATTGAGGTAAAGGCTACAAGATACAAAAAGTTAGTTTGAGGTTAAGGCTACAAGATACAAAAAGTTAGCTTGAGGTAAATGCTACAAGATACAAAAAGTTGGCTTGTGGTTAAGGCTAACAGTTAGAACAAGTTAGATTGAGGTAAAGGCTCACAGATGCTGAAAGTTAGCTTGAGGTAAAGGCTACAAGATACAAAAAGTTGGCTTGAGGTAAAGGCTAACAGATGCTAAAAGTTAGCTTGAGGTAAAGGCTACAAGATACAAAAAGTTGGCTTGAGGTAAAGGCTATAAGATACAAAAAGTTGGCTTGAGGTAAAGGCTACAAGATACAAAAAGTTGGCTTGAGGTAAAGGCAACAAGATACAAAAAGTTGGCTTGAGGTAAAGGCTAACAGATGCTAAAAGTTAGCTTGTGGTAGAGACTACCTGCTAGCACAAGGTAGCTTGCAGTAAACGATCACAGCTAGTGCAAGCTAGCCTAAGTAACAGCTTACAGCTAGGAAAAGTTAGTTTGTGTTAGTGGCTGTCAGTTAGGACTAGCTAACTTTAGATAAAGGCAACCAAATACAGAAATTTAGCTTGAGGTAGTGGCTAGCATCTAGGACAAGTGGATTTGTGCTAGAAACTACCAGCTAGGACTAGTTAGCTTGAGGTAAGGCAACCAGATTTAAAAGTTAGCTTGTGGTAAAGGCTAACAGCTAGGGCAAGCTAGCTTGAGGTAGAGACCAACAACTAGGACAAGTGAGTTTGTGTTAGAGACTAGAAGCCAGGACTAGTTAGCTTTAGATAAAGGCAACCAGATACAAAAAGTGAGCTTGAGGTAAAGGCTAACAGCTAGGACAAGTGAGTTTGTGGCAGAGACTACCAGCTAAAGGCTAACAGCTAGGGAAAGCTAGCTTGAGGTAAAGGCTAACAGCTAGGACAAGTGAGTTTGTGGCAGAGACTACCAGCTAAAGGCTAACAGCTAGGGAAAGCTAGCTTGAGGTAGAGGCTAACAGCTAGGATCATGTGAGTTTGTGGCAGAGACTACCAGCTAGGACTAGTTAGCTTTAGCTTAAGGCAACCAGATACAAAAAGTTAGTTTGAAGTAAAGGCTAACAGCTAGGACAACTTATCTTAATGTAAAGGCTATCAACTAGGACAAGTTAGCTGAAGATAAAGAGTAAAATATTTATGACTTTGACCTATCATGATCACAATGCTTTTCACATTTAATCTGATGGCTATTGGTCAGTAGTACAATCCAATAAAGGGTTTTGAGTTCTGTTCAAATGTATTACCAGGATTTGACTTCAATCTAAGATGTTTGAGACACTGACAAAAAAGAACTGGCTTTTGACGAGAGTGATTATATTTAAATAGTTGCCTACTTTGATGATAACATATTAATTTTTTCTCAATATTGCTGAGCATTATAAAAGTCATTGATATTACCAGGGGTATGTCAAAGCTATGAGCTCAATCTGTTGAGAGAATAGTACAAATGACACAAAGGAGAATAGCACATTTGAAACAAATTTAGAATCAAATATTACCACCAAATATTTAATTCAATTAGATCCTAACTTTCATTATGAAGCCTTGATAACAACAGTTCCGTATTTCAACTGAGGTTATATGTAATTCCTAGAGGTGGCAACAACTAGAAAATTCAGATAACTATAAAAATAACAGTAAATTGTTTGAAACAATAAAGGGTTTTGAGTTCTGTTCAAATGTATTACCAGGATTTGACTTCAATCTAAGATGTTTGAGACACTGACAAAAAAGAACTGGCTTTTGACGAGAGTGATTATATTTAAATAGTTGCCTACTTTGATGATAACATATTAATTTTTTCTCAATATTGCTGAGCATTATAAAAGTCATTGATATTACCAGGGGTATGTCAAAGCTATGAGCTCAATCTGTTGAGAGAATAGTACAAATGACACAAAGGAGAATAGCACATTTGGAAACAAATTTAGAATCAAATATGGTACCACCAAATATTTAATTCAATTAGATCCTAACTTTCATTATGAAGCCTTGATAACAACAGTTCCGTATTTCAACTGAGGTTATATGTAATTCCTAGAGGTGGCAACAACTAGAAAATTCAGATAACTATAAAAATAACAGTAAATTGTTTGAAACAAACTTGTCCAACTTGAGATAATTATAAGACTTTCAATTCTTTAAATCCCTGGTTTTATTTGTTGGTTTATTTTAATAAAGAAAAAAATGATTCAATTCAGTGATATTAGGCTAAAGTACATTAAAATCTGGTGTAATTTTTTTAGATCAAGAGAAAGTTTCAGAGTGGGACAATGGCAATGCGTGCCGTGACTCCAAGGTCACATGAACTGGATGGAGAGTTTGGTATGGTTCTTGGTCAGAACATGGTAAGTAATTAAAACATCAGACATGATACTATAGCAAGGACCTATATCTAAGTACATAACTATACTTAAATAGAAGGACCTACATATGTATATCTGAGTCCATGACTATTCATATAAAGAAGGACCTACATATGTATATCTTAGTCCATGACTCTACTTATATAGAAGGACCTACATATGTATATTTAAGTCCATGACTCTACTTATATAGAGGGACCTACATATGTATATCTTAGTCCATGACTCTACTTATATAGAAGGACCTACATATGTATACTTAAGTCCATGACTCTACTTATAAAGAAGGCCCTACATATGTATATTTAAGTCCATGACTTTACTTACTTAGAAGGACCTACATATGTATATCTTAGTCCATGACTATACTTATATAGGACCTATATATGTATGTCTAAGTCCTTGACTATATACATAAGACTGTTGCTAGTACCATTGAAATTTTTTGAATGCCATCTCATGTGTCCGTTAATTTGGCCAAAGTGTTGTGTTTTGTATCTCTTTCACCTTTTTACCCAAGATTACCTAAATTAGTATTTGAAATTATTTTCATTAATTTGAGTTCACAGCTCTCTAGATTGTTGCATACTGAAATTAGGTCACTGGGACTTTAAAGATATTTCAGTTTTTGCCTTGTATAAATGTAGAATTATATGTATACATGCTTTTTTTAACATTCTTTCATGTTGTCGTGTATGATTGTAGCATCAGAGTTCATTCAGGGAAATATTTGTATCATATACAACATACCAGGAAGGTATCTGATCTGTTGAAGGAACAGTGTTATATACACATAATAGTAACACATTGAATTTGCGTTTACTTTTCAAAGGAAAAGTTCTCAAAACCAGCCAACGACAACTTGTCCATACTGAGGTCACAGGTTGACGAGGTCAAGGATGTCATGACACAAAACATAGAGAAAGTTTTAGAAAGAGGAGAGCGACTGGATGACCTGGTGGACAAGACTACTGAACTTGAAGCCAGTGTATGTATATAAGTCTTTATTGGACCAAACTTTTCTGTATAAGGGAAACTGATTATGATATTCTCTGTATTACTTTGATAGTAATGGTTAACCAGGCACACAGTAGATGACCTTTGGTTTCATGTCGGCATTGTATTCTTGCAGAAAGACTTCCCTTCACCATGGAAACAGCATTTGTTTCCATAGCAGCATCTTGATTTTTAAAAAAATCATCTTGTTTTCAACTTACCAAACTTTAATAAAGATTATTATTATATCAAATTTTGAATAAGTTATCTTGAGCTTATCACATTGGATATCATATGTTCAGGTTTTTTTGACATTTTGAAATTTGTTTTCAGGCACAAACATTCCAAAAAACAGCTACAAAGTTGAGACGCAAGTTTTGGTGGAAGAACACGAAGATGATGCTGATTTTAGCGGTGGTGATACTGGTTGTATTGACAATCGTAGTGTTACTGATTCTGTATGGTGCAGGTGTGTTCAAATCGTCTCCATCGACGACTACCACCACCACTGCCCTCCCACCGACAACTGTACAATCCAATGGCAGATAATGAAACTGCAATCACTTTTATTATTGTTAACAGTGCCAATTCATAAATAAGTGTCCTTTTCTGTTTGACAAATTATACTTGCCTTAATGATAGAAGGTTACTGTCAGATTTCAAAATACATTTAATGCTGGTCTTTTATTATCAAGTAAATTATTCGGCTTTGTTTAACTTTGTCCTGCATAAGCGTGGAAAGGCAATGTACGAACTGTTCCTGAGGGAAAATTTTTAAGCAAACTTAAATGACTTTACAAAAAAGAGATGACTTTGTGAAGTTAAAACAACATTATGACGTTAAAAGAGTATTTGTAATGGTGGTACAGACACTACTCTTCTGACTTCAAAGAAACAACAGGAATACTGGGTATTTGAATGTCTGTTTTCTGGGTTTATCATGTCATCGTTGTTGTGGTGGTGTCTGACAATTGACTTCTGCAGTCCACCTTGCTTGCAGTATCTTGACTTGACATCTGTCTTAGATGTTTTTACATGCCTATCAAACATTTCCTTGCACGGTTTTCAATTGATCATTTTCACACTTGAAAGGCTTCATTGTAGTATGATATAAAACTGTTAGTGAATGTCAATTCGATTTGATTGTATATGAAGGAGTTGTTTGTTTCATAAACTTAATTTCTCCTCTGTCATGTTTTCAATCAAACATTTTTCAAACTTGGTAGACTTTATGACTACGACAAGAAATTGTAGACAACAGTGTGATTCCATGATTTTCAGAGGAGTTATTGCCCTTGGTTTTTCGGTATTTTGTCAGAAAATCACTTTAGGATTTTAACTTATTTCTTTGAAATTATATGTGCTTTATAACATGACATGAAATTTTCTTTTCTTAAAAGGCATTTGATTCTGTATTTTTTGGAAGTGATATTGCCTTTTGGTATTTTCTTCATCTAAATCCTCCTACAGTTTTTGAAGGATGTTGTTTTATCATCCAAAAATATAGTACTTGATAAGCTTAGAAAAAAGTCAGTGCCCTTTCTTCTTTGCAGCTATTTGATCTTGTTTCTAGTTTCTCCCCTTCAGTTGAATATTTTATCTTTTTTCTAGTTTCTCCCCCTCAATTTTCAACTGATTTGAATGGTTCACAATTGATGGACCTTGTTTTGATGACACAAAATTGTGCTTTGTGGCATATTGATAATCCAATCTTTGGCCAGGAGGAGGCATATTTGTCTCTGATTTTCTACTCAATTTCAATATATAGAGGATTTTTTTGTATTCCACTCTAAATATTAGTTTGTCTTTTTGTATTGCTTAACAAGAAATATGTGGTTTTAACTCAGAATTCCTTGTTACATGCAGTTAGATGTGTTAGAGCTGTTTATGTTTATCAGTATGTTGTATTTTGTTCATTGGTAACAAAATTTGGACAAATGTGTTCAACAAATACTCAATGTAAGATGGCATAATTGTTTGTAACATTAAAATTTGAAAGTACGGCTTTTCATTTTCTTTCAGGAATCAATAGAAATCAGTATTTTGTTTTAATAGCCATTTAGTTCTGTACATAAATGTTTTACATTTGCTTGTAGACAAAAGTTATTTCCTATTACAATGTACATACCTGCTGTAAGTTGAACATTCAGTGGAACCTGTCTAAAATGGCCACTACAAGAAGTTAAGTAATTGGTTGATCACGGGAGTAACATCCCCTATACCACAGATGAAGCTGGTCTTCAAGCAAAGGGTTGGTGCAATATACAGGTCTGATTGTAAGCCAAAATGGCTGGCTTTAGCTATTTGATTACTATGAATTATTTTTCTTAGGTAAGGAGCATTTAAAGGCAGGTATTTGTTATATAGAGGTGACATTTTAGACAATTTTACAGTATTTCAACATCATATTGTCCATTGATCAGTCAGGCAGTCACCATGTTGTTGTGTACATTATACTATGGTAACCAATTTTGTACCTTATCTTATCAAATACCAGTACACTGTACATATATGTTAAACAAGTAGAAAATATGTATCAGCTTATAATTCCATCAAGGTTGATTCCTCCAACCTGAGCAACTGTTCAAGATATCTTCACCAGACTCAATGGTACCGTGTTATTTGTGAAAGTAGCCTCTTATTTTTCAGATAATTCAGATGGAATTCCTTCTCTGAAATAATATAAATATTAAATTGCCATGTAACTCCATCAAAGGCCTAAGATTGTGTACAATGTTCAGTGTGATTATTTGTTAGTTACTGCTCTGTATCTTCATAGTACTAAGCTCATCTTCACTAGCTTTGTACACATGCTCTATCATGAACGTCAGTTTAGGATAAAACAATGTCAATCCCTTCAATCTGACAGACTGATGTTTTTTGTTACACAGCTAAACACCTGCCTTTTTTTATCATTTTCATCACTAATTAATGTATTATATACTATATATAGTTCTCGCATTCTTTCAAGCTTTATCTTTTACATTGTAAAAGTGAACACAAGTGATTATTTCCATCCCTGCTTCATATCTGAACTTTTTTTTGGTTCAGTTTCTACACTGGTAATCTTCGATAATCAAAAGACATCTTAAAAATACAATGTTTATTGTCTTCTATGAATATTTTTGTGATATCTTATAATAAATTTTGAATGAAATACAGAATTTGTCTTTTAAAAATTTTGATTGACTTATTTTAGCTTACATGGTCGAAAAGACCAAGGTGAGCTTATGTTGTATTGAGGCATCTGTCATCAATTTATTTAAAACAGTACTAGTCTGGAATGGCCCAGCAGATTTTGACCAAATTTTGTCAATTGTATCCTTTAAAAACAAAAAGGAGATTTAATTTTACATGAATGGTTGGTCTGACCATGGGGAGAAGTGGGGGAATCATGGAGTCTGTTCCAATTTGGTCTTGAGCATCCTGGGGTGAAGAGGAATCATTTTGTACAAAGGTGTGTCTAAACCTACTTGGGCAGGATCTACATGCATATGTAGGCGAGATACAGACCCCATGAACCTCTTGCTTTTTAGTAATAATGTATTGCAGAAGAAAATATGCTTTGTGATCTAATTGACTGGTTCCAAGATTTACCATTTTCATAGACTACCGCATGCCACAAATTTCCTAAACACAAATGGACACAGATTATTACAACATGATTTAAACCCTTTCTGAAACATATTGGTTCAATATCCTATTATTTCATGACCTGTCAATCATCTTTTCAAACCAATATGTTTGAGCCAGATGATCATGAGATGGTGAATGGACCAGAACATCACTAATCATATGATGGAGACATTTAATCACTTCAGTGAATATTGAGTCATCAGAGGGACCACATTATTCCTAAATAAAAGGTTTTATTCTATAGCGACGGAAATGCACAATGGAATTGGAAAGTGTTGGTAAGCTTTGAAAAGAATAACAGATGGATGGGATGTGCTATGGAACATGATGAGCTAAAACAGAACACTACTGATCATTGAATATGTCATTTATTAATATCAAGATTCATTCTCCATACACCCAGTAAATGTTTTTGAAGTTATTTGAATACAAACATGTTTAAGAAGTTAATACCTCATGAGCTTTCCAACACAGTCAACTAAATGCTTTGAAAGTGACTACAGTGCATGTAGGTAAAGCAATTTATATGAGACTAAGCTTTGTCCCTCAAAAAAATTACATCGGTAAAATGAAGTATATGCATAGCTTATATATAATATATAGCAAACCTTTTTCAGTCTTAACAGAAAAACATCTGCAAGAAAAAGGTTCTCACATTAAATAGTAGAAAGCGATTTAAGTTAAACAAAAAATTGAAAGAAATATGGGAACAACTTTTGCCCAAGGGCTAGATATATTTGTGTCAATAAAGTGAGCAAATCCTATCCTACCACGTTTATACTTTTCATACACATTCAGCCAGACACAAGCTTCACATTTCCACATCATTCTGCCCTGCATTTTACTCTCGAACACTAATCTGGGAACTTGATCTGTGTCCTCACTGCTCTCTCCTTGTGAGCCTCAAAAAGCACCTGATTAATTCGGAAATATATTGGATTGTCTTTTTCCTCTAGTTCAGGGTTATAACCCTCTGCCATGTCAAATGGAAGTTTGTTCATTGACTGACTTTGCACCAAAGACTGACTACATCCAGAACATCCAGGAAACTCTGCGCCATTTCTGAGATGATTAGGATGAATAGGGTCAGAGTTAATGCGAAGCTTCCGACATTGTGTGATAATGTTGTCTGGGTGAACAATTCCGTTAGGTCTTTCTATATTGTTGTTCTGAAATAAATTCAAAGTCATGAAACAAAACAAAAATATTATCCGCAAAAAATTCAGAAATATTGGTGGATTTTATTACATTACAATATTCCATACTTGAAATCGTTATATAAACATCAGAAATTGTATGTAATCTTCCTCAATATGTTTCATAATACCGGAATTTGATGTTAAGTTCATAAAATAAGAAAATGTTATGATAATGAAAAGTAACTCTACATCATGAGATACTGAGTTACATTTTGTTGTTACAGTGTTTTCTATTACATTTTAACCGAGAAAGTGACTTTAACTGACATGACATTATGTCTTTCCAATGTTTAAATAAAATAATTAAATATTGAATTCTATGGTCATATTAAGGATTACATTCTTTCATGGAAATCTTCCTAGTTTTAAATAAATCACTACTTTTTCAATAAAAGCTGAATTTCTGTAAAGCAGTATATCAATCCCTTTCCATTATGATTTTTCTTTTTTTTTCCAATTCTTAAGTTAAATATTACTTTCTGAAGGTTTGCGAGTGTCACAACTAGGAATACAAAATTCACCATTTTCAACAATATCATGTTTGTACAAACATTTCTCCATTATGTGTAAGGTTTTGTTTTTTGTTTTATAAGGAAATTGATATTAAACTTAACCCAACTAAAACTGTAAACACAACTGAAATCTTTATCAGCTTTTCAGAGAATTCTGCTTCATGTTACAGGCAAGTTAAATCAATTTATAAAATATGATCATTATCATTTACCTTATATTAAGTACATATTTAAGGTACGTCAATTTTATTATAACATTAGTGAAATTCTATACAATGAAATATATCTGGAACAAATCTATCGCCACTTTGGAAGTTTATCCAGCATTTTTCAAGGTAAGAAAGAAGACATTATCCTCGAGAATCTAGATTTGTATTAACAGATGATAACAGCTCAGCTTTTTTCATTATATATCTAAGCTTACCATTTGATCATTACTGTCATGACTAAATGGCTGATGACCAGACCTGTGAAGAGAAAATGGTACCATTTAATTTAGGAAAATAGAAACATCTAAGTAATTTTTTAAAGTTAAAGATACAAATTACTGATTGAAATTAAATGAATATATTACTTTTGAATCCAATACTTACTAGGTACATTAAAATTTGATTATCTTTATAATGTAAAATGTAAACTTTATTAAATTTGAGAACATGCAGATCCATGTAACAAACAAAAATATATAGACATTCCTATGACGTTTGACCCGTGATATAAGCAAAACCAGTATACAGCAATAGTTTTGGTTCCTCTTAATATACTGATCAGCATTTTAAGAATAATTACTCTATTTGAAGTCTGTTGATCCTTTTGGAAATTGGTAAGCAATCTTCACAGTCTGCATTTGGGCTCCTTGGTCTTTTCAAGCTTAAGAAACATAAAACGCCATTATATCATCTAACTTATTTAAGTAAACAATGCTAATGTTAAATAATTTAACTATAAACATGGTATTAGATGATATAATTCTATAATGAAACCAATAAATATTTCATCAGAGCATTCAGAAGACCAAATTTTGAGCTTTCAAATTTGTTTTTTGACATTTGAATGCCCAGCTTGTCTTCATTAAACCTATCATTTCTTTATCAGCAAGTAATTTGTATGTACCTTAGTAATCAAAAAGCACATTGAAGATGATTACAACTGTGTCACATGTATATTGAATGCAACTGGTTTAAATGAAAAAGAAATCATGTTACTTCAGCGCACCCAGTAATAAGTGGTATGGTATTCAGATGTAACTCTAAACATTATTCTGAAAAGTACATTCTGGTATAGATTTAGAATCTACAAAATATCACTGGCTTTCATTTTCCAACACAAATTGAAATATCCCTGAATGTTTATTCATTAGTAATATAACAAACCCTACATTTGTGTAGAAATTCAAAACACATGTCACCATTACTAGTTCTAGGTGGCTGTAAATTTCATGCAAGTGTTGTAAGGCATCTGCCTTGACAGGTAAAGGTTACTAGATGTACAATGAGGTTGAAACCAAAGCAGTACAAGGACATCTTTGATACACCTTCCAAAGACTTCAGTAAATACATGTCTACTCCTCCCTATAACAGATTTGGTGCTGACACCATGGTCCACTCAAAGTGTTAGTCTGAATTAATATGCTCTATCAACAACTTTTTAAAAATTGAACAGGTGCCAAAATTAAGAAGTCAATAGAATATCAGGATGAGTTTATATATTCAAGTGTAAACTAAGCAAGATAGAATGGTTGGGTTTTTAAAGCTACTGGACTTTAGTTCTTTAGTTTCTTATTAGCTCTGACTAGTGGGATTTCATGTTAGCTTACTTGTAGGGTGAGAGTGTTGGGTCACTGCATCTTGTTTGAGCTGGATATTTATGGTTATAGTACAAGCAAATGGTTATATCAGAACAAAAGTACTGTGTCAATACAAATTATTCTTTTCATTAACAATATGATAAGTAATAAATACATGAACAAGGCCTCAATCTTTTTCACTTTGCAGTCTGTATATGCATATCAAAATATTACTGACATGATTACCGGGGATTATTTTACATTGACTGTCTGTATTTAAAATAATGGTGAATACCGATATGAACCAATTGCAAATTGCTATATATCACGGTGATATGTTCGCATTACTTGCATTAAGGTAAATACGAATATCACTTAAATGTGTACTGCAACTTAAAATTCACAAGGACAGAATATTTGTCAAAATGGCCGCTACATTACTGACCACAGAATTTATTACGTAATTTGGAGAGCTCCTTCGTGGAAAATATCACATTTACTCTTATCCATCTTATTTGTATAATATGGTACCTGTTACATCTATCTCACATTCATTTTACGTCTTGTGCGAATTCAAGGACCATATTCACACCATAAACACTGACATCCATCAGCCTTTTTCTGTCCAAGTATTTTTGATAGTGGTTCAGCCATGAAAAGATTATTTATATCAAGACTACATACAATAAGAACATGTATATGCTATATTGCAACCTAAAGTTCTTATTACCTTGCCGTCATTTTGTGACATTCATTTCAAGAACTTAAAATAAACGCAGATGTCAGCAGGTACGAGGCGATGAAGCAGCACTTCTGTCAAAGACGTCTGCTTGACAGGAGACTTCCGTAAGGGGAGGTAACACAAGCGCTGATTTCCGTTCAGGGAATATAGCTAATAAAATGTGAATATGTCCGTAATTACTAGTTTTAGTCGATATAAATATACTCCTCTTAACTACATGACTAAGCATTTATTTGTTTAATAATAATAATAAATTCGCCAAAAGATACAATTTCAACATCGTAGTGCAATGTATCTAGGAAGGCCAGCTTGTACATCAGTAGATCGAGATTTAAATATTTCACAAAAATGACCATGGTTCGTTCTCCTATTGGACACGATATTCGGCTTATAGTGTTCATTACTGGTTCTTTAGAAAATTCGCCAGTGATACACTCGTGTCTCCCAACTCGGCCGAGTAGAAAGAGGTCTACATGATGTTTTTGGGTGTTTTCAATAATGCTTTTTCTTTTCAGACGGGCATAACTTAAAGTTTGAATACAACTGGAATGTCCTTGTAATCATTATACAAGTGGTTTGCCCAAACTTTGTTCACAGCCTTAATACCAAACTGTACTTCCTCAACATACACCACACGCTTTCCGTCGGTGTTATTCAGTATAAGATGCGTTTTTTGAAGATATGAAGAGAACTTTATTATTATTACTATTATTATTATTATTCCCGACTGTTAAGCGAGCACCATGGATTTATTTGTTACTGCAAATAATGTTATTCCCTCAAGAAATCTTATTTCCAGAACTTACCAGTATTACAGCTACGAGAACTGCTGCTGTTTCAAAATACAATATTGAACCTTTATCAGAAGGGTTCCATAGACTGTGTCCATCTATCTATCTGCTTTATGAACATATCTGCTAGACAAATGCATTTCCCATGACGCAAGTTAATAATTATAACATGCAGAATTTAGAAATGAAAGATCAACGCATTCCTAAGGTAAAGTCTAGAGGGAAAAGTTCTATTTATGAAGGTTTCTGCTTGTTTGGTTTGTCGACCTGTAAAATACAAGTGCGGTATTTTGATGGATCTGTCTATAGTAGCTTGCCACTGAAGAACCAAAAGCAATATAAGTTAAGGTCCGTGTACAAGGTATAAGATCTATGTATGCAATACCAGAAAATCGGGACGGAAATGGCTGCAAAAAATGTAAAGGTAAAACATTACACCACTGAACTCAGCATCTCTTTACCTGAAGTTCACCTGATTTGATGTACGCAACACGTGCATTTTCAAAAATTGTATTTTCGCTGCTGGCGTTAAGTGGTAGGTTAACAACAAGATTGTCCAACAAAAAGTATCATAGATAGAAAAAACATGTATATATATACGCCTTTGAAAATACGAGTAGGCTTTGGAAATGTTCCACTGTGCATGTTCTCCGCTGTCTGCGTCCAGGTCAATCTATGGTGGATCATCTAATATTGTGTCATTTGGTATCACACATGAAAAGAATCGTTGTTATACAAAGAGTGCACGTGGAGGGAAGTAAGTTTTCTCAAAGACAGGAATTTTAATTGAGGCATTCGCGGCTCTTGGACTCTCCTTTATCCTGTCTCATACAAATGAACTGAATTAGGCATTGAGATTGGGATTGGGATCCAATTGCATCATGGAGCAGAATTTGTCGTCTTTTTTTTTTTAATTTTCACCAATAATGGAGACCGAAGAAACATCTGTCCTGAATGTGCAATGTTAAATTTATCTATCACATCAGCTTTCGGCGCCCTTGTAATGTCAGACAGAGTTGTCTTGAGAAATGGTAAGATAAGAGCCCCGACGAAAATATTCGAGGTATTTCACTTCTCTATCTATATGCAAGTAGCGCAGTTGTGCACAGTATTATAAGTCAATTAATGAAAGTACTTAATACATGCTGTTCTACAGAAGGTGTGTATTGACATTTATATAACATGTGTATATACTGTGTATCAATTGTCACCTTTCTAATATTAATTAACAGTTTTATCCTATATCTGAGTCAACACCGCGGCTGAAATGTTTTGAGTACATATGAGAAGCTGCATGACAGTGGTAAGAATCAAGTTTTTATATAATTGACTTTTGTTTAAAAAATACATTTCTTACCATTACCAGGAAAGGACTTTGGATAAGTGTAAAGCTTTTGCCCAATCCCTGTCCATTTGTTAAGGCAATAACTATGTTTAAATAAAAGAACAAACATTATTTGTTTAGTTAGAATGCTGATGAGGTAATGTACGTGTGTGTAGATATTGGAATTATCTTATGTAAAAATATAAAACCTATCCGGTGACCTCGGCTTTATCAAAGTATATATGTGTGATAGAACACGATACTCTATCTGTTTGTATATTTTGACACACAGAGATAATGAACTAAATGTAGTGAACAGTAACATGCAGTAAGTGGTTACAATGTCTTAAGGGTTCTAGCATTAACACGGTGACAATATCAATTTGAAAACAAAGAACATTTCATAAATATACTCATTTCCTCCTCGATATTTTCAAAATAAAACAAATGAAGGTACTTTAGCAGTTATTTACACAATATTGTAGAAATTACGTCCCTTCTTATTCATTTTTTTTTATATTTCGACGATTTTTCAATAGGTGACAAAAATATAACAATTCACTCGCACGCCAGACAACACCACACTCAAACACATACAGAGTACACACACACAAACACATACAGAGTACACACACACAAACACATACAGAGAACACACACTCAAACACATACATAGTACACACACACACACACACACACACACAAACATACAGATTACACACACACACAAACACACACAGAGTACATACACACTCAAACCATACAGAGTACACACACACACAAACACATACAGAGTACACACACACAAAAACACATACAGAGTACACACATACTCAAACACATACAGAGTACACACACTCAAACACATACAGAGTAAACACACACACACCCACACACACTCACACACACACTCAAACACATACAGAGTAAACACACTCACCCTCACACACTCACACACACACTCAAACACATACAGAGTAAACACACACACCCTCACACACTCACACACACTCAAACACATACAGAGTAAACACACTCACACACCCTCACACACTCACACACACACTCACACACATACAGAGTAAACACACTCACACACCCTCACACACTCACACACACACTCACACACATACAGAGTAAACACACTCACACACCCTCACACACTCACACACATACAGAGTACACACACAGAGACAAACAACAATATTTATGAGCCTGATATCATTGTCACTCTACAGTTATATGTAGTCTTCATTTCATCTATCAACTATCATCATAATGAACATCATATATAGTACACATTATGGCCATCCTCAAATATCACTCTCATCCTCAAATATAACATCATAATTCTCAAACGAGAAAGGATACCCCTAAAAATCTCGCAATATACCTGGGTTTTCCTGTTCTCTATCATAAGAAATGCAAAAAAGTTTCGACAGTCTCTTCACAACCTTTTTTCAAGTTTGAAAAAATCCTTGAACATATGACTGATGACTTGTTTGTCGACGATGTCAGATGTATAGTTAATGTCCTTGACGATCGGATACGCTTCTTAACGTGTCACGTGGTTCCTAGTACGTATAAATCGTATTCGGCATCGGACGTCCAGCTGTCCACGCTAAAATTCTCTGACGACAGGTAGCAATATTTCCATACTTTCCGAAACGTGAATGATTTACACGCAAACTTCTTTTCTTCGAAGCAAAATTTAGCACACTAAAAATATAAGAAAAAATATCATATTATCTAATGTTAAATCAATAAATAGTGAATTCTATCTCATACAACTTTTCAATATTTAATTACCGTTTCAAAATAATGCGTAAGAAGAATTGTATTAAAGTCACAAAGTAAAAAAGCACAATTGAACACAAAATTTGAATTAAAAACAGTATAGGAAATAACGAATTAAAACATTGTAAGAACTGAATCATTTGAAATTAACATGTTATGATATGTTTACATGATATAAGTATCTATATATATATATATACAACACGATAGACCACACAATATCATTAAAGTAGTAAACTGATATAGACGGTACGACAAAGAACTGTCCTACCTCTGTTGTTAATTAGTAATGTGACGTTACAACATGCCTGTCACCTTCTACCAGCCTGTCCGCCACACCACTTCCTCAACTACTGATATGTAACGGTATACAAATTTGCAAAGATATATTTTCAAACGTCTCTTTCAATATTTTTGCTAAGAAGCATACGTTATTAGCCGTAGTTGGGAAACTGATATTTTTTATATTATTTATCATGAACTGGTACGTCATATCTAAATATACTGTTACCATATCAAGCGTACAAATGACTGCAAAGATTGGAGCAACACTTTGACTTACAAGTTCGACAGGGATTGTGCCAAATGTCTGTCGGACTAGGGCTGTGGTCGACACGTTTTCAGTCTTGCTGAACTTTGGTAAAATATAACCTGTAATAGAGAACACATTTGAACTGTTTATGAATGAAGTCGTAAAAATCATGTCGTACGTGAGTATTTGTGTCACTCTTTGCACTAGATGTAAATGACACTTTGGGACGCTAGATAAAACATCCTGATAATCTTTTATAGTCTCACAGTGTATGAAAGTAACAACATACTTACTGACTTCTATCTGATATTATACCACACTTTTTGACGATACCAAGAACCTGAAGTATCAAAAACATCAATAAAAGTATAATTACTACACCCAGTCTCGTCTTCAGATTGGTCACAGTCTACTTCTCCGTCACACTGGAACACGGACGGTATACACCTTTGAAATAGAAATGCATTATTTATATATATAATGTTTTGATTTGAAACAATGATACCTTAACCAATCTTATGGTGTAGACATAACTTGAGTTGTTACATAAAATTATATTATAACTGAACTGACGCTATTACATTAAAAAGTTAACTTAATCTCTAGATAATTGAGAAATTGAAGAAAGTTTACCTCCCCTGTTTTCCCTTGTGACAGTGGAAATGACCGCTTGGACATTCTTGTACTGCTGGTCCTAAAATATAGGAATGGTTAAACTAAATCTATATTTACAAGGGGACAAGAGCAAGTCTAGTGGTACCTGAATGAGATTACATTTCTTTACGTCCTAAATTGTGTTAAAGGTCAATGATATCGCTGCTTCTTTAGGAAATATTCCCCAGAATGATTTCAAATAATGTAACAATTGAGTTACGCCTAAATTTCATAAATACATATAGCCACATGTGTTTGCAAGGTTATATAATACAGTTCTTTTCAAAGATGGGGGAAATATTCATCAACCAAATGGGAATGCGTCTGTATCCAGCAAATGTTTGATCGGGTCCTTCTTGTTGCTCCAGAATTAAGTGCTAATACTTGTTATAAGCCACGAGAACCTCACGTGATTTGGATGTCTGATTTGTGTGACATTGCGCTATGCCACAATATGCAAACTCGTCCGCGTTGACGTTTGTCCAGCACCAAGGTCTGACGTCATTGTCCGGGTTTCTACACCAATTGTGATCACCAAGACCCTACAAAGGCAATCCATCCAAAGTATGTCGTCATGTTACCTTAAATGATATTCCGCCGAAGTTGCAAAATTTGGTATTTAAGGACAATAACGAAACATCCCGGTCACATTCGCGACTATAATTATTCATCGATACGACAGCAACACATTTTCACTTTTTGTTGCAAATTGCTTACCTTGACATATATCTACGTAACTTAGATATTTTCATGTATCAAACGGACTGATGTGGACAAACTCTTCTTTATATAGCGTAACAAATGGTTACAGAATTACTTGGCGCTTGACCGAAAAAGTAATTTGATGATCACACATTTTGGAACAACAGGTGCCACAAAGTAAATTAGCACAAGAACGGATGCATCCATATCACTGATTATTATTCTATACATTATTGCTAATCCTAACGTTACAAGAGAAAATACATTAAGTGACGCACGTAACCTTGGGTAAGTTTTTGGCACGTAAAGATGTTACTACGCCAATAAGTCAACACTTTTGAAAACCTTGTTTCCGAGGCTGTCATGATGTTATAAACAAAACTCAAGAAACTTATTCAAATAGGATATTACCGAATACGAAAATTGAAAATTTTCAAAACAGAATAAGTTTATTATAACCTGATTATCCTATTCGTTGTGTCGTTCACCCACTTATATAGATTACAGAAGACAAAACTTGATATGTTATTTGAATTAGGTTAATACGTATATAGGATGGCCATGAATACTGACCTTGTTGGGGTCAGTACCAGTATTTCTCGTTGCAGACAGCATCCAATTCTGACAGAGTAGCCCTCCTATTGTGACATTCACTTGGCCTCGATAGCCTTCTCCTGTTCCTCTGTAACAGTCTAAGACAGAGTGACCACATAATTCAATAGCCACACTCCTTTGCACTCCTGTCGTTGACATAAAATTCAATGGACAACAGAGGTACCTTAAACCTACTGGAAAGGACACTTAACCTGCCGTATTTTAAAAAAAAACTTACAAAACTTTCAACTTCAGTTACGACTTGTATAAATGGAACGGTTGCAAAGTATCTTGTAAGTTTCTGACACGCTTTGTTATGTTCTACAAAATGGTTCAAAATGTGGTAAATAATTAAGTTCTAATGTTACACAAAAAAAGACGCCAGCACTCATTTTCACACGATCCATTCGAACTTTCAGTTGAAGACATGGTAACTACAAAGAGCCCAACAGGCAACCCCTTATCCGTAAATGACACAAGGAAAGCTGTCAACATCTTACCCTGACTGTTTCCGTCTGGTGTGTATTGTAATGATTTTTCACATATATAACTTAGACGACCTTCGGAAATAAAACACTCTGTGGCCTTCCAGTAGAAGTAGGAGACGTTTGCGACGGAACCATTGGGATGGGTGTATTGGTCAGACAGAGCCATACAGTTGTGTTTGGGTGTTGAAGAGGGCTCACGGTTAATGAGGGAGGGCATCCAACCTAACAGAACAGAATATTTAAATGATTGTTTTCTTCAGAGTCGAAGTTTGTCAGATAAGTACTATTTCTTTGAGTTGTTCCGTCTTACGTGGGTAAAACCCCAACAGGTCAGGGTTTTTTTTCTGATGATACTTTGCTCAATAGTAAAGTGTACATAAAATACAAAACGAACCAGAAAATACACGTCCATTCTGAGAGAATGGCTTCATTGTAAACAGCTTCTTAAGTTTAAACTATGTTTCATTCCATATTGAACTACGTCACAACACAGACCAATGAATTGGATCCGGAAATTGCATAGATCAGTTATCATTAAAATATCTTTTTTAATATTGCCATAATGGCATATCTGCTAAATTCACATTAATCCATTCGAAAAAATACATAAACAGCCTCTTTCTTTTCCAATGTTGATTTCCACCTATTGGTTTATACTTATACTTGTTCCGAAAACATGAATTTTCGAAACATCTAAATTTGTGTTTTCTTTTTTAAACTTAGTAAACTTTTTGGCTGTGAAAAATCGACACAATTATTTAAATAAAGAACTGTTTAGATTTGGCAGGCTTACTACCATAACCTTCACAATGCCAAGAAAATCTTAACTTTGATAAATTTGTCTATGACACTTGTGACAGTCATAAACCGGGCTTATTTTCATTATATTTCATGTTAATGTTCTTGTATTTCCACTATTCAAGTTATTGTTTTCACTGACTCTACGTTGAAAAGCAATCAAGTCAAAAGATTGTCATTGTAACCGTTGCGTCATCATAAACTTATATATATCACGATGATCTACAAATGATTTAAACCATGCCTACAAAGAGCACTATATAGCACTTATTCACCTGGAAACCAGACAGTTACGTCCATATCCTTTTCCTCCAATACGTTTTTGTCTCGTCTTGCCCGAACGTTTCTTGTATGGTTCTTGGCTTCCTTCTTTTTGCTCTTTTTCACTTTATCTTTTTTCCCTTTCTCATTTTTCCTCCGCTCCTTTCTCTTTCTCCTTAATGTTTTCCAAACCCATTTATGTGATTGGTACCTGCCTCCAATCATCCAATTTTTCTGATCTGGAGAAAGTAAAATCAGTATTCTTTTATTCTAGGAGCTCCGTGTATTTGCTACAAAGGTTCTTATTATCGACTAAACATCGTAAAAAAGCATAGATATGACAGTGAATGTTGTCTTGGTTTCTTTAGTGACAGAACTAATGTATGGTTTCTTGTGTAGACAGCCTGTCGTTTAGGCATCTCGTTGAAGCAGCACCTGGTATTTCAAGATTCATATTTTCTTGGGTTAATGAATACCTTTTTAAGGATCTCCATGACAAGCTCTCCTTTTTTAGATTTTGCAATTGTTGTATCAGTTTTGAAGTTACTCTTGAACGTGTTACGTGTCGGTCTCTGTTCTTGTGTTTTCGAGAGCTTCGTTGAAAATTTCAGGCAATTTGGCTATTGTACATAATATGCAAACTATTGCAATATTCAAATGGATGCTTAGAAACATTTCGATTAAAACTGCATTCAACATCACATTTCTCACTTATTTACCTGGATGAAGTATTTGCAAAGTTGTCGAGAGGAAATCATTTTCCAGAACACTATCGACGTTGGCTAAGTAGCTTCCGAGTTTTGAGCACATTACATCGGCCGCGAACACTGTGACCCGTGATTTTGTCTGCATAAGGTAGCATCCACTAGGCCCTGCAACCCAGCTGTTGCTACAACCTGAAATAGGAACACTGACTTTGTTATACACACGTCCAGAGGGAGGGACCTATTTCGCAATGTGAGAAGTACTGTAAAAATTGCACATACAGGTGACATCGATCCTCGGTGGGTGAAAACTTCTATCAGTAGAACTACATCACTCATAAAAACGCATGAAACAAAATCGAAACGAGCAGAAAGAGTTCGCATACGATGTTCTAACCTTGATTTGGCTGACATGTTACTGACACTGCCTCGAACACGTGACAGTTGTGCTGTGATTTGTAATCACATTGCAGCAGGGAACTCTCGTTACCGCGACACGTGACATCGTCCATTACGAACGAACCATCAAACCAAGATCCGGTCGAATGGTTCCTGGTATCAAGTGCATATAGTGCCCCACTGAAAACGCAAAAAAATGAAACTGTTAAATGTTGTCTATCATCCAATATTTGAATGCGTTTTTATCATTCGGGCCATTGTACTATATGTAAATCAACAACGGGTCAATAGGTCGGATAATAAGTCGGTCTGTATGTCACTTCCTTCGGTCCTCCTTCAAAGAAAAAGAAAACTCATTGGGTCGTCTGAAAAAGTACAAGGAGAATAAGACAAAGATTCCGGAAGGATAACTGCCTTCTGCTTCATAGACAGCGCCTGCCATGTAAATCTTAGTCAATCCAAACAAGTGATACCACGCTCAGACGTGAGAACAATAAGGTAACCAACAATGGAATCAAGTGGTATACATTCGATCAGTAAACACGTCCAACTTTATATCTCACAGAGAAATAGAATGTTTCTCAATGAGATCAATATATAAAACTTCCCCATATACTTATCGACCTGCATATCCCTCGAAACACTGAGTTGTGAGTCTGCCGTGTCTTTTTGTGACCCAGATTCCTTTCAAACTCTGCAGAGTGTTTTATTGACTACGTCCATCGTACAGACCCAATAGAATCGGAAATTAAAGACACGAGAGACCGTTCTACGTTAGCCGTTTATCTCGAGCTTTTCCTTCAACGAAACCAACATAGACAGCTTTCCCTATTGTGAATTTTCCACTTCTAGAAAACATCACCCCTTCATCCCCAACTCATGGTGCAGGTGACTCGATATTCGATGACCATGACCTGTTCCCATTTTCACGATTTTCATGCAAGACGTCAACTGACGGACAAGGTCGTTACAGAGGGTTTCAAAAGACACAGGTTGGCGAAAATTATGGGGAAGTTTTACGGTCGTCATTTCTTCGTGCGATATGAAGCTGTTCGGTGCTCGTAAGTTTGCCTGTTGGTTCCATGGTTGTAAACCTTGTCCTCATTTGAGAATGTGACATTGCTTACTTGCGTTGACCAAGGTTTACATAGCGGGTGCCTTCGATGAAGAAAAAACATTTACTCTTCCGGAACACGTGGTCTTATTCTCCTCGTACCTTTTTTCATGAGTCTCCTTGTAAATATTTCTTTTGTCCATATCTTGCTCTATTGAATTTGAGTTTAGATTATGATTGCGGTTCCGTTGTTGTTTTTTTTATTTTGTTTTTGTTTTTATTTTGTTTTTGTTTTTGTTTTGTTTTTGTTTTTTTTTTTTTTTTGTACAGTGTATTTCTATTTTATTTTCCTCCATTTACAGTGACTGATCCTCACCTACCCCTCTCGCCCTTTTTTGTCTTATCTCAGAAAAAAATTTGGAATAATTCATTTCATTTGGTACTAAGAATAAGTATGATGTGAAAATTTGCATTGACACGGAAGTGGATGTGTCGCCTACGCAAAATTAGAATTAGAAAAAAACTAATTTGCTTCAAATACGGCAAGAACAGGAACAACCCACATGAAAAGCAATTTCAAACAATTCCCTTTGGTTAAGAAGCATTGTATGAAGTTTGAGTCTAATTGTCCAAAGAAAACTGAAGTAATCACACAAAACCAATTTCTTTTTCGCAGCTGAAATGACCTTAACCTTTGATCTTTTGACCTGAAAAGCAGTTCCAAGCAAGTACCTTTGATTAGGCTATTGTACGGAAACAAATTTTCTATTGATAATAACAATGACCTTGATATTTGACCCTTGAACCTGAAAAACAATCCCAAGCAAGCCCCTTTGGTAAGGAAGCACTGTATGAAGTTTGAGTGAACTTCAAACCTCAAAAGCAAACCCACGAAACACTTTTGGTAAGGTAAGGAAGCACTGTATGGAATTTGAAGTTGATCGGCCAAAGTGTTCTCAATTTATCGCGAAAATACCTTTGTGCGGACGACGGCGCCGACGACATAATAATAATACCTACTTATTGCATTTGGCAGGCAGTTAAAATATCAAGCAACGAGGGAATTGAAATGAATCAAATTGACTATGAGTTCCAAACTCCGACAAATCAATGAGAATAATGTATAATTGTGTCAGCAAATATGTATTACTGTTATTTCACTTACTGTTTAAAGCCCAGTTCCTTGCAGGCCACATGTGCATTTGGTAACCGCCAGTTGTCATCGCAAACGATACCCCACCTCCCTGCCCTGTACACCTCAAGTATTCCACGCCCTATGTCACGTGGACCATCACCATAGTTACCAAGTCTGCAACATTTATGAAAAATTATGTGCATTAAGTACAAATGAAAAGACGTTACGACATATTTTTTTATCATCGACGAACTACACTCGCGATATCATCTGGATATTGTAGTGATCAAGATTCAATTGCAAATATATATAAACTTACTATTCGCAGTTAGTATTGGTAATATTTGGTCATAAAACATTTCTAGATAAACATTCCCCATAAAGTTCTTCGTTTTATGCAATTCGCATTTCGTTTTACTACCAGCCTAAAGAACTTAGCGTATTTTTAGCATGTCGAACAATACAACTTCTTATGTTTTACACAATGACCATTTTTTCTGAATTTGTATTTATTATTCAAATCTTCACGATAATGATGATTTTCATTTCATGCAAGCATCTGTACATGAAGACAATGGTTTGCATCCAAGTGCCAGTGGAACATTAGCATACTCGCATAAGTATTTCGCATGAGGCATGCAGGATTTTTCAGTAAGCATTTTGCATCTGGCATGTAACATATAACACAGGTTTTTCAATTGGTAAAGGTGTCAGTTTGTAAATGTAGTTTATGTTGAATGCTGGGAACCTTCATGTTGAATGCTGGGTACCTTTATATGGAATGCTGGGTAACTTTATGTTGAATGCTGGGAACATTTATATGGAATGCTGGGTGCATGTGTTTGCATCCAAGTGCCAGTGGAACATTTGCATACTCGCATAAGTATTTCGCATGAGGCATGCAGGATTTTTCAGTGGCATTTTCCATCTGGCATGTAACATGTAACACAAGTTTTTCCATTGGTAAAGGTGTCAGTTTGTAAATGTAGTGCCAATATATGACATGTTAAATGGTTCATAATCTGATATTCTTTATAATCTTTATATGGAATGCTGGGAACCTTCATGTTGAATGCTGGGTACCTTTATATAGAATGCTGGGTACCTTTATGTGTATAATGCTGGGAACCTTTATGTGGAATGCTGGGTACCGTCATGTGGAATGCTGGGAACCTTCATGTTGAATGCTGGGTACCTTTATATAGAATGCTGGGTACCTTTATATAGAATGCTGGGTATCTTTATGTGGAATGCTGGGAACCTTCATGTTGAATGCTGGGTACCTTTATATAGAATGCTGGGTACCTTTATGTGTATAATGCTGGGTAACTTTATGTGTAATGCTGGGTGCCTTCATGTGGAATGCTGGGTACCTTTATATAGAATGCTGGGTACCTTTATATAGAATGCTGGGTATCTATATGTGTATAATGCTGGGAACCTTTACATAGAATGCTGGGTACCGTCATGTGGAATGCTGGGTACCTTTATATGGCATGCTTGGTGCCTTATGTGGAATTCTGGTACTAAAGTCATTATATGCTAAATGCTTATGATGCGAGATGCTGCTTTATTTGATATGTTAAATGCCTTATGCGACATGTTGGATACCAAACTTTTCGTAACATACTAAATGTGAAATGCCCATGTATGGACGCCGTAAGTATCCTATCGCATGATCATCCCGCGGAAAGTTACACATGTCTTTCGTACTATGCAACGTAAAGCGTGTTCTATTGGCTCAAATAGCATCTCGTAGTTTTTGTTAAGTATTAATAAAATGAAAACGTGTTGAATTTCAGAAGTGGATATGTTCATGCTCGGGCAAAAGCTCGAGCGAGCGGGTGTCCCACCAGTGGAGACAAGCCTCTCTCTTGTCTGGCCTCCCTTCAGAAACCAATACATACTGGCAAGAAATGTGTTCGTTTTAATACTAAAATTGTTAATTAACTGATAAAGTAATATTACACATTTGCTAACAGTTAAACAAGGATTGAATAATACATGAGATATGGACATGGTCTTGCACATATAAATGACAATAGATTCGGCTGTTTACAACAAGATTACACTGACCTTCATACAGACTGCTTAGATAGGCCTCAGGTAATGACTTATATAGCCAGGGAACGAACTAATACACGAACATGTGTAGTAGACCAGCAACTCTGACCACTGGTCAATACATAATTGTTCACAGTAGATGTCAATGATATATTAATTCTGGGAGACACATGATGATGAAACATCTGACTTATGTCTAGCACAATTTTGAATAATTTAATTAACTTATATGCTAACTATTAATAGTTAATTAAAAACGAAATAATTGATTAGAAAAGTGATCCCATGTGATATTCACTCAAAGAAGGATCAATTAAGCGGTGTTAAATGTTTATCATTTCAGAGAAAAGTTTTAGTGCTTACACAATACTGAAATGACCTACCTTATCCTCTGACCACTGACCGGCTCGGAAAGGACCGGGTCGACATGCTTCTTCCTAGTATTAAGGACATCGGAGCTGGATACTTCCTATGGTTAAATGTAATGATGATTGTGTTTGAACAGAACTTTACATGTGGACGTGACACATGGAAGTTACAATGTGGTACATTAAGTAGTACTTTCAATACACGGAAATGATACACCGAAGTCACTTGTTGCACAGTAAGTGACACTTTCAACCATGAAAATGACACATGATGCCAATGTCCAATCGCCAAAAGAAATAAAAATACAAATTATGAAATCGGGAAAGTGACTATCGCCAAAATTCTGCAGCGGGACATTAAAACTGTACTGTGTAAGACATGTGCTTATTGCATGGACATTTTGTGTAACACCTATGTGTTAATTGTGGTAATGCTTTTTTACTTTCAAATATAGGTCAAAGGTCACGGTCAATGTCACACGGTCAAAAATTTTGGTACCACCGGAAAAGTTATTGTCTACAGGAATACACATGCCAAAATATGAAAGCTATAAAACTTACAGTTGACAACAGACAGCGCAAACACAATTTGTCTCTGATCTTTCGATCCGGGGAAATAAACAGAAATGAGGAATTTCTGATAAGAAATCATGTCTTTAGAGTGAATTTTGTATGCTGATCTCAGCTCAGGTTGTACTGAAGGTAGGATTACATGGGTAATAAACCATTGAGAAGTCACCGGTATTCAACTGGGTCTCTAGTTAGTACTGTGACACAACAAAGTCACAGATGTTCCACCTTATATGTGTACTCCTGATTTCGTTTCCGGTTTACAATTAACCACGGTAACCTGAAGTTTCTGTTGCTACTTAACTTACACTTTTGACAAGGCCTTCTCCGAAAGGAATGATAAGTCCATACACCGTCGCCAGTGGGAACAGCATAATGACAGTGACCACAACCGCCACTGTGGTAAACATTATTGTACACCTAAGTCATCTTCCGTGTGACTAGTAACAGATAACTGTGATGACACATCAGCTATCAAAATGGGTCAAACAAACCACCCGGGAAGTTGATAGTTTGTTTATCTTACTCAGATATAATTATCGATCTGTTCTATCTCTCATATTTTTTTTATATTTATTTAAAGGGTTTTGCGTCCACTGTTACCGCCTTTCGGCCTTTCAGTGGACGAGTTATCTTTCACTATCATTCACTAAGGCTTACACATATCCACCCGCGCGTGCTGGACAGATTCGGTCCAGAACAAAAAGCAGAAGAAAAAATGAGCAATTATTTCTGGTCGAGACCGCTGCTGCCATAGATCGAGGCCCAAAGAGGAATAGATACTGACCTCCCGTGTAATTTTTGTTTTAAAATTAAATTAAAGCATCTTACATTCGTTCTATGCCTCCTTTTCGTGAGTCTTAGAAATGTCCAAACGCTAGCTAAAAGCGCGACGAATTTTTCGTTAATTTGACATGGAAAGATCTACTAATTACGATAAAAATTCTTTTTAACCATTTTATCAAAACATTTTTGATAAATTAGGTAAATAGAAATCAGGCCTTTTCTCACTAGTCCTATTTGGCTCTAACATACACATTACATATATACCAAGTGCAGAGAAAAGAGAGCACTATTCTACGAAATGTCGAAAATCGTGTTTTGATTATCAACTCACTAAACAATTTAATTACGATGATATAATGCTGCTGTCACGTACACATATACTTCAAAATGTTACATCCATCATGTAAGAATACATAGGCCACACAGGATGACACTCCACTAATTAGTCATTTTAGAGCTTAACTCCCGGAGTTAGATGTGACCTACTTAACACACTCTAATCTCTATATACCGCAAAAACTTCCGGATTTCAGTTTCAACAACAGCAGCACACAGAGGGGGACAGATGGGGGCACCGTCAATTGAAAGCATTTCCCGAAATTATACTTAATAAATCTATAAAAGTCACGGGAACAGTGTAATTGTTGAAAACATATATGGTGATAAAAGTTTTTACGTAATTGAAATTCAGATATATTTCAACAAGTGTGTGTTGTAGCTAGCAGCTACTAAGTGGTCTGGCCCCTCAAAATCACGGACACTATCATGTTCCGGGAGGACGAATGACCTACGACTTCTAAGTGAGTTTGTTTATTTCGGTGCAAGGCCTCGTGGTAACGAGGAGGCTGTGAAGATGGAACTGAATCTCTGGTTGGTTTTAGCTTTGTTAAGCATTGGGCACTGTGATGGCAGAAGGAATAAGGTAATACAGGTGTTACAATATCTATATGTTATATAAGACATAACTACTATTGGTAAGTGGTAGTAATAGTCTTGATGTAATTTCACTTCAGGTAATGTAGTTTTGAAAATTTGTCGGGCAGCGTCATATTTTACAGGACGCCTTCTGATAATTTCTGGGTATTACATTTCATTGCCATTTCGAAGTTCTGTCGAGGATGAAAATTTACGCATTTTTTTTTTTTATATAGATATAAGATTTATTCTACTTAGAACTTATTTTGTTTCATTCAGCAACAGACCGGGTCGACAGGCGGTCGGTCAGCCAATGTGGACATCCGTGCACCGAAAAGTGGTCAGCGAGTGAGGTCAGTCGGTACCATGGGAAGCCATTCTTTAACTACACAATTTGTATCATTATTTTTTGTATGGACTTGTATGACAATCTAAGCTCTCATTTATCCGAGGAGCAAAGTTGTTTATATACTTCATAACAGTGATGTATATGAAAATCTAATGATTTTTTAAATACCTTGTCTAAAAGGGTATTTACCTAAAAAGGACGTTGTAGTTGTATTTTTTGGTCGAAGCAGTCAATGAACTTCCTCAAAAATACTCACGTTCATTTATACAATTATCCTATCGCAATTAAAGTGAGTTGTTCTTTTTTATTTTCGTTCAATAACAACAAATTGTCATTGAAAACCTGGACTCTTATTTTTACATAAGCAGTATCTTTATCCTGGTTCATGGGAAAAAAAGGTACACTATCGCGATAAACATACTTTTAACGCATTCATTGCTGACGTGTACAAAACATTTTCATCGCGTTAGAATGAAACGCGTAAGCATTGAACGCGGTAGAATGAAACGCGTTAGCATTTAAAGCGGTAGAGTGCAACGCGCAAGCATTTAAAGCGGCAGAGTGCAATACCTGGGCGTTAGTATATCTCATTTTTGACATGAACGGTCGTTTTTCTATGATTCTATGATTCGACGTAAGATCAGCTTTGTCTCTTGAAAGTAAAACAAGTAAGGTGACAATAATATATACGAGCATGACTGAAAATCTACTGATAGAGGCGTGTCCAATAAGACACATCCTGTTAACTAGGAGAATCCCATCACATAGTGGGTTCTAAGAAACAGGAAAATGGATAATAAAAGTGTATTGTTAAGAGTGTACTTGTAAGGAAGTGGAACTTGGGCTGCAGAAAATCGGGGATATATTTTTAGAAACCAAAACTGAGATCGGTTTTCCTACTGTTTTATCCCTACTCTTGGCCAACCATCCATATAACAGTTGAGATTACAAGGGTGAATGAGTTAAACCCGAACGGAGCAGAACGTACTTTATTTATTATGACAAAGATCCATTGGTCAAATTACACGGCATTTGATTTTCTTACTCCTTTTCTCGTGAGCTTATGTAAAAGCTTGTTTTATATATATTAAAATTTGCGAAAAAAAGCCCGACCATCGTTTTCTATGTTTGTCGCAGACTCGGAGGTACGTCACAGAGAGTGAACGCGGGCCTGGTGGAGGTGTATCGTGGAGGCACGTGGGGTGTCGTCTGTAATGACGATTGGGACCTCAGTGACGCCAAAGTCGTCTGTCAACAACTCGGTTTCAAAAGGTAACGAAACCATTTCTGTCTGATAGCTATCGTAGAACACCATGCGATTTTGCTTCACTACATTTTTACTTATGCCAGTGCATGATAGGCATTGGTGAATGTGTACTTTTAAAATCACTTTTTGTCTTTGGTTGTCGTAATAGTTTTTGTCTTTGGTTGTCGTAATTTCTAAAAAAAACAACACTGAAAGAACTTTCTTGAAGCGTAAGCGACGAGTTCAGTAATAAGTGGCCTGTGAAGCCTTAGTCAACAGAATACTCAAGATGGCCGCCAACGACCATTTTGGGTTTTAACAATTAAACTTAGTGTTATTTCCCAACAGCTTCCGAAAAGATCTTAAAACTGATTCTCAGTTTTCGTCCTACTAATGTAAGTCGGATTTTGAGCAGTTATATATTCGAAATGCCCCTTAGCAACCATTTTGATTACAGTGTATTGACGTGTGTTTTCATCAGTATGTTTCGTGAAATTTTGTGCCAAATTTCTAGTTTCATCTGATATTCAAGAGGGCCACCAGTGTCATTTTCTGGTTTTAAATTTTGAAGTTTGTACTGGTTTTACTAATTGAAATAACCAATGAAGATCATCAAGAGCCAATGCTGAGACACATATATATTTATATTAGTTTTTTATATTCAATTGAGGGTTAGCTCTTGATTGAGAGTTTTTTACACATCACAATTAAGAAATAATTTAGTAATAATGACAACTAATGCACCAGTCATTGCTTTTATGTACTGTCTCCTGTATACAATTACAGAGGTGCCCTAGCAGCCTTGGAGGAGACAACTTACGGCACAGCAGGATGGACTGATGATGATATATTGATGAACAATATAAACTGTATGGGTTATGAGGGCATGGTGCAGGAATGTCAATATGGTGCCATTAACTTTTGTCCTGTAACTGAAGCAGCATCTGTTATGTGTAGACATAACACAGGTATGTCATGTGTAGACATAACACAGTTATGTCATGTGTAGACATAATATAGGTATTTCATGTGTAGACATAACACAGGGTTGTCATGTGTAGATACAACACATATATGTCATATGTAGGCATAACACAGAACACAGTTATGTCATGTGTAGACATAATACAGGTATTTCATGTGTAGACATAACACAGGGTTGTCAAGGATAAACATAACACATATATCATCTGTAGACATAACACAGGGTTGTCATGTGTAGACATGACACAGATATGTCATGTGTAGACATAACACAGGGTTGTCATGTGTAGACATAACACAAGGTTGTCATGTGTAGACATAAAGTGTTTTAGGTACATAAAAAATTTCATTGATAAAGTAAAGATTACATAATAACAATAAGGAAAAGATATTTTCAATTAATTGAGATTGTTGTAAATATTATAACATCAGAAAAGTTTTGACAATGATACATTCTTAATATCTTCACACTTGTGTATAAAAAGAGCACTGTTGTATAAATTGCTTTGTACGTCTCTATAGTAACACGCTATTGTTAATGATGAAAAAGGATGTTACATTTAAAGTTATGTTTTAGGATGTGAAGATGGCTGGATAGCAGGTCCTGATTCCTGTTACCAGTTCATTAGTCCGAAAAAGCCTGTGAAGACAACGAAACAGGTGCTGAGTAAGTGTGCTAGGACAGGAGGTCACCTTGTCAACATAGAGACAGAAGAAGAGAACCACTTTCTGTCTAACACACTACAGCTACTGTATCCAGGTAATGTCTCTGCCTTTTTCATTTAATCATTTGTTGTAGTAATAACAATATAAATACGACTCAAAAATTGGTCATGGAAGGTAATTGCATCATCAAAATTCTCTTCTTTGTTTGGTCAGTCACAACTTGATGGTTTTAGATAACAATGGATTTCACAGGAGAAATCCAGAATAAAAGTTAGACATAGAGGGAGCTTAGAAAGAGAATATCATACTTTTCTCTCCTACCTGACATTGTGATGTTCATTCTCCTTTTTCATGTAAATACCAGGTCAGTGGAACATATAGGCTACATCCAGTAATTGTGTTTTCAATTTTAGATTCAGATGTGTGGCTGATTGGTGGTAAAATACACAGGGGTAAATGGTATTGGGAAAAACACATGCGATCCAGCACATCCCAAGAAAACAAGCCCAAGGGACCAAATAAACCCAAAAAGCCGAAGAAACCAAAGAAACCTAAAAAGACCGGCAGCACCAGGGGACCACAACCAACTACAACTCAAAGACCAGGCAGACGTCCACGACCAAGACCTCGGCCAAGGCCTGGGCCAAAAAGACAGATGGAGAACGAAAGAGAAGACCCTGGTATGCCAAGAACGCAGCAAGGTCGGCCTGGTAGACCTGGTAGACCTGGTAGACCTGGTAGTAGGGGCAATAACAAACAAACAAAAAGACGGAACAAAAATAAAAGGAGATCAAAGAGGAATGCCAGAATGAAGAAGAAGCAAGGTGGCTTGAAAATGAAAAGGATTAAAATGGTTTACAAAAAATGGTTTCCAGGTATGAAATGTAATCTTATGTTGTAGTTTGAGGCCTTAACAAAATACTGGTACAGTAAATGTTGAGTAAGAATTTTGTTCAAATTTTAATTCTACGATTCAAGGCTTAAAGAATAGACATTTCACATGAATTCCTGAATCAATAGTGAATTACTGTGTATCGGCTGTGACCAGACTTCAATCATCTTGAAGCGCATTTGACTGTCAAAATACTAAAACAGATTAAAAGTGTGATTTTTTAAGCAGTTATATTTAGAAGCTGATTTCTCCAAATTGAAGTCTTATTTCTATTGATTTATTACCTGTTTCATATGTTGTAGGGTAATGCTGCCTAAAGAAAAGTTACTTCTTTAAATTCATTATTTAATTATGCAAATATTGTTTATTGGGGAAACATTTACCCTTTGATTGTCTTTCCTTGTTATGTTTGCCCTTTAAACTAAACATAAATGAACACATATATTTCAGCTTTCAATTCAAAATTTATAACACACCTTTTATTTTCACTTTAAACATTCATCCAAGGTTATTTTCACCCTCACATAAAATGGTTTATTTTCGCACTGAATTGCATTAAAAAAAATGTTTCAAATTTAATATCTTTATTTTGACTACCTTTTGTTTTTGTGTTATTGAAAAAAGATGAAATATGCAAAAGTTAAATTGTGATAAAAGTTTACCTATATATACACAGTAATCAAAACTGAATTGTTATTGTACAGTGAGTTTACTTTATGTGCAGGTTAATCAAAGAGACTTTCATGTCACAGTAAAGATAGACAATTATGTATCATCATTAAAACACATTGCAGGTTGGGTACCGACACTGGAACAGAAAGAACCATCTCGTGGCAAGAAGGAGTACTGTATGGCATTGAATAACTTGTATGACCGACCTGATGGATCCATTAAACAGCTACTGGATTACTACTACTGGGACAATGTGCCTTGTAAGAGGCGAACTGGCTTTAATTACATTTGTGAAAAACCAAAAAGTAGAGTTGCTGCAGTCCGAAGCAATGATGTAGGTAAGTGTTAATATCAGGATCTCTGGTGTAGTACTTCCACAACAGTTTTCTTAATCCATATTTACTCCATGTTGTAATAAACTTATAAAATTTTGATAGATAATGATGCCATTTTTTTCTGAATGATTTGTAAAATAAGGCAAAGCATCTGAAGTGTTCTTCTCAGTAACAATACAGGCCCACCAGGCCTCTTATTTATGTCAGGATTTGATTTGTTTGAAGAATCTATTCATAAAGTTGATTTTGAATTTGACAGACTGTTATGATGGAAATGGAGCAAGTTACCGCGGAAACATGGATATGACAATCAAAGGTACACGCTGTCAGAATTGGACTGATTCTGACAGAACTAACCCATCAACCCACCCAAATAAGGTAAAAAAAAAATCAGCATAGTTCTATTTAATTTGAAATGAAAGATATAAAATATGAACAAAAAAAAAAGTGAATTTATTCATTGTGGATAAACGGGATCCATGATGGTTTAGTTGGTAGAGCAAAGCCTATGGAACTTCAGGTAAAAATTGTAGGTGTGTTGTTTGATGTTCTCTACCTGTGGCAGTTCATGTTTCTCCGAAAGCAGAGAAATGAACCAGTTGTGATATAAGCTGTAGACAATCATGATGTGGCAGTATGTACAGTACCACACAAGACCTTTCTACAAGAGGTTATTTTATTCTGTTACAGGGACTTGGTAATCATAACTTCTGTCGTAACCCTGATAATGAGGTGAGACCTTGGTGTTGGGTAAATATTGCTAAATCCCAGTTTGGCTATTGTCCTCTAATGCCCTGTACTGACCCAACCCTGCAGGAGAGCTCCTCAGATGTCAGAGGTAAGAATGCAGATATTTTGTTACTTGCATGTACATGTAGCTCACTTACACCTGGCTGCCAACCCTCCTTACTTAGCTCAATTACACCTGACTGCCAACCCTCCTTACTTAGCTCACTTGCACATGGCTGCCAACCCTCCTTACTCAGCTCACTTACACCTGGCTGCAAACCCTCCTTACTTAGCTTACTTACACCTGGCTGTAAATCCTCCTTACATAGCTCACTTACACCTGGCTGCAAACCTTCTTACTAAGCTTACTAACACCTGGTTGTAAATCCCCTTACTTAGCTTACTAACACTTAGCTGAAAATCCTCCTTATTTAGCTCACTAACACATAGCTGCAAATCCTCCTTATTTATCTCACTTGCACATGACTGCCAACCCTCCTTACTCCGCTCTCTTACATCTGGCTGCAAACCATTCTTATTTAGCTTACTAACACCTGCTGCAAACCCTCCTTACTTAGCTCTATTACACCTGGCTGCAAACCCTCCTTACTAAACTCTCTTACACCTGGCTGCAAACCCTCCTTACTTAGCTTACTAACACCTGGCTGCAAACCCTCCTTACTTAGCTCAATTACACCTGGCTGCAAACCCTCCTTACTTAGCTCTATTACACATGGCTGCAAAACCTCCTAACTTACCTATCTTACACCTGGCTGCAAACCTTCCTTAACGTACTAACACCTGGCTGCAAACCTTCCTCACTTAGCTCTCTTACACTTGTCTGCAAACCCCCCTTCCTTAACTTACTAATACTTGGCTGCAAACCCTCCTTACTTAGCTCTATTACACATGGCTGCAAACCTTCCTCACTTAGCTTACTAACACCTGGCTGCAAACCCTCCTTACTTAGCTCAATTACACCTGGTTGCAAACCCTCCTTACTTAGCTCTCTTACACCTGGTTGTGATTCCCCCTTATTTATCTCACTTACATCTGGCTGCCAAACCTTCTCACTAAGCTCACTTACACCTTCCTGCCAAACCTCCTCACTGAGCTCACTTACACCTTCCTGCCAAACCTCTTCACTAAGCTCTACCTTACTTTGCTTACTCACACCTGGTTGCTAACCCTCCCTATTTTTGTGTTTAATCTCTTTGTTATTTGCTCAAAATTGTTAAATTTGGATTCTGTATATTTCTTAAACCTTCCATCCCTTACAAAGTCATGTTGTTACATTGCATAGAACATCTCAAATATGTGGTGTTGCACTTATATTTTATATACGGAGCAATTATACATAGATTTGTGGACAGTTTAAACTTCACTTCACACTTTTTCTTCTATATATCATATTTATTTCATGTTTATCCTTGGTGTGTTTCAGAGTGTTATGAAGGGAATGGAGAATCTTACCGTGGGGCAGTATCCAGGACAATTAGAGGGTCGGAATGCCAGCGGTGGACTCAGTCTGTGCATATAAACCCAGACACACATACAGACATGGTAAGATCTGTATATATAGTGGTTCCTACTTATTATAATATAGGATATTATGATATCCTGCTTATTACACTATATTCCCTATATAAAGTAAGTAAGGAAAAAGTTATTATGATACAGTCCAACATCTGATATCTGTAATTGTAATATTTTTTCTGTCATAATTGATTTTCACAACTTATGACCCTAAGCAAGTGACCTTATTTGACATCTGGGCTGTTTCTTGTGGCACTGATATTCCACTGATTTTCACCCAAGGTACCCTGAGGTAGCCTTTCCCACCTGTAATAGATAAATTTCACCCTTGCTGTCGGTAAACATGAGAAATTAAGTCAGTGTGTAGTCAATCAAAAACTTAAGGATCAGTACTGATTATAGAACTAAGACTCCTAATTGGGCCCAAACAATTAGAACAAGATTGAAACTGATACATGTTAACTTACTTTCAAATTTTGTACCTTTTTGGTAATACATGTTAACTTACTTTCAAATTTTGTATATTTTTGGTAATACATGTTAACTTACTTTCAAATTTTGTATCTTTTTGGTAATACATGTTCACTTACTTTCAAAACTGATACATGTTAACTTACTTTCAAATTTTGTACCTTTTTGGTAATACATGTTAACTTACTTTCAAATTTTGTATATTTTTGGTAATACATGTTAATTTACTTTCAAATTTTGTATGTTTTTGGTAATACATGTTAACTTACTTTCAAATTTTGTATATTTTTGGTATGTCGCAGATCATAATTTGAGATATTCATTAGATACTTGGTTTCTAAGATCAAAATACTCTTTTTATTAACAAATGTTCTGCTTTTAATAACTTTGATGAGATGCTCGTCCTTTCCAAGAAATCCAGTTTGATGTCATTTGCAAAGAACAGTATTGACTGAGGACTACCGGTAAGTCCAAGGTTTGATACCTTCTCGGATGAAGAGATAAAATCTTGGACTGACTGTTATCAATATTCCAAAACATTCAATTTAGTCTTTATAGTTCAAACTTTATCAAGAATCATAATTAAACAGAGTATACTGATGGTTCTTATTTCAGGGGAAAAATTACAGTGAAGTTAATGAAGTAAGAAAAAGTAAGGAGACAATGATTTTAAGGGGAAATGGTTCATCGTCTTGTGGTACATCCTCGATACTCCAGGGGTTACAAATATGTTCACTCTCAATCAGCACCCATTAACGTTTCATTGCAATATTAAATGCACAAGCAAAGTAAATTGATTGGTCTAGAGTGGGTTTCAGAAGAAAAAAACTGACCAATCACAGACTGATATGCTTCTTTTAAGATTGCAAAGGAGCAACACATAACTTCTAAGCCAGTTTTTAGGCGACCTTGAGATTCATTTGATGTAGGTCAAATGATCTAACTAGTCTTCTTGTCTTATCCATAAGGTTTCGCACATGAAACCTTTATTTTGACATGAAGTGTATCAGGGGTACAGAGAGCGATTGTGAGCATAATCCCTGGTGTACTGAGGTGGTTCATGGCAGAATTTTGGTAGCTCTTAGTCTGAATTCCATCCATACACACACACACACACATATATATATACTAATACAGTGAAAGCGCTAGTGCAAAATGTAACATCTTTCTTCTTTTGTCAAAAATCATTTTTATTTATATATATATTTAGTATAACTGTTGTAGGGGTTGGGTGATCATAACTTGTGCCGTAACCCTGATAAGTCTGCCAGACCCTGGTGTTGGACTGATGTCAATAAAAGAATGTTTGGGTACTGTCCAGTCCCACTTTGTGAGGATATACAAACTGACCAAGTCAATTCTACGACAGAAGCACCAGGTATGAATCATCAGTAATCATGGGTTTGTAAATTTTGTTAATATTGCTTTTACATTTTATATTCTAAGAGGTACAACCTGCATTTTATGTTCAAAGAGATAAGACCTGCATTTAAATTGTAACATGTACTGCGGGGCAAGAACATGAAGACCAGGCCAAACTGAGGCATGATTAGCATTAGCAGTGAGAGAAAAAAGTTGTTTATAAACACTACAGCTACAGTAATATTTTCTGGTTTAAACGATATATACACTTCAGTAGAATCAACCACAGCACCTTTGTTCAGAAGGTTTAGACCATGAAACACAATAGGACTTAGTGTACAGCTGTATAGGCATGCATGGATTTGTGTTGCTTTCAGATGTGAGGGGTGTATAGTAAGCTTTGTTTTACTAGAGATATTAATTCAAGACTAAACATATCTTGCCTAAAAAAAATAAAACCAAAACAAATTTCATAAGAAAAGTGGATTATATCCTATATATCTTTACCAGATGTGCTTCAATCAGTTATATATGTAGATATTGCATAATTTACCCAATACTAATAAGTATATGTTGATAATTTACAGTGGTGTCTGAGTGTCCAGATGGGACTTTCTTTTGTTATAATGAAAGCAAGGCCAGGTAAGCTGATATTTAGCCTACCATTATAGATGTGGTGTGTGGTGTGTGGTCTGTCCTTACAATTATTGTTATTGCTATTTTTTGAGAAGTGCTGGAAAAATCTTTCTCAAATTTCATATTCATGTTTCCCAGAGTCCATAGTTGTGCCTTTTTAATTTCTAATGATTTTGACGGTTTATTTTTGATTTTGACAATGAAAGATTGATGGTGTTGCTATTTCTTACAAGAAATTTGTTTAATTTTGTGCATTTGAAAGCAAAAACAGAATAAAGAATAAGGAAAAAGATACTTTCAAAGAAAAAAATAAGACCGAAAAATGGTGGTGTTAAGATCCATCTGGGACCTCTTGTAAGTGTATATTTACATTGGTAAGTAGATATCTGTTTGATATCTACAGGTGTATACCAGATACCTTTCATTGTGATGGAGAAAATGACTGCATTAGTGGTGAAGATGAAGAACAGTGTGGTAAGTCTTGTCAATAAACCAAACTAGTACTCACTCATGTAGTTATCTAAACATTGACCTGTTATCACAAAATATCATGTTGGCATTAAAGCACTGTCATTTATAAGAGCATAACTGCCATAGTTAACAAAACAAGACAGTTCAATGCTTATATTTACGTTCCCTACTCATGTTGCTTGCTTATGGTGGTTTAGACTTTATTCATTTTCAATAGTGTCGTAGTCAGAAAGGGGTATAGCATTTTTCATGAAGATCTGTACCCGTTTCTATGCGCACAGTCACGGCATCATAATTGTCACACACTGTGGCATTTATCTTCTTTTGATAAAACATCCATCTGGATTGTCTACGTAGTGGCATTTTTGTGCAAATGTAATGATGGTTAGTTATAGTGGCACTAAGGTTAGAATCTTCTTTAGACCACATGTTTAGAAGTAACATCAATGAATCCTTCTTATCCTTGCATGAATGATTAGTGTAAAACAGACACTTGTAATCGATCTCTATTACATAAGTTGTCTTTATTGTCACTTTTAGTCAAGAGATCTGAATGTAAATTAGATTCATGTAATTTTTTTTTTATTCTAAAGAATACAAGTTGCCTCAGTTTGAAAAGGTGGCAGATGCTATTTTGGATGCTCATCAGTATGAAAAATACATACATATTCCCATAGAAAAGGTAAATGTATTTTTTATATCCATCATAGGAAAGTTCTTTGTAATTGTCCTAGTCAATTCCTGTGCTATTAGTGTACTAGTGATTAAGTATACAGACTTTAACTTTTGTGTGTGTGAAAAATTTCAGCAAGATATGCTCAAACGGTAACTTGTTTTGTAAAGAATTTTGTCTAGATATTTTCAACCACATTTCACAAAGAGTTTTGCCCAGATGTGTTCAACCCCATTTCAGAAAGGACTTTGCCTAGATTTGTTCAACCCCATTTCATAAAGAACTTTGCCTATTTTTGTTAAATCCCATTTCACTTTCAGTTCCTATACATTGATCAGTTCCAGGGAAATATTAAAATTGTTAGTATATTTTATCTGACATATAAGAATACTGGGAAGTGTATAAAGAATTGAGTACAATAACCATTGTAATTATACGATACTCTTGTCAGAAATACTTTCATTCATAAAGCAGGTTGATTACATTAATGATATTCTGTTGACAGTGTGCCACCAAGTGCTTAGAGGCTAAAGAATTTGTATGTCGCTCCTTCAGCTACCACAGAGAGAATCGGTCATGCTTTCTCACCGACATCAACACACATGTCGCTATCGATTTTGATATAGAACCATCTAATGAATATGACTACTATGAATTATCCTCACAAACTGGTAATATTATCTATTATAGTTTGGTAAATTCATACATCTGTCATATAAGACTTGATTTGAATGACCCTTTTGGAAAAATGAGAAACTTTTGAAGAAAGGAGAACCAACACTCCTGTTGTTTTAAATAGGTGTAATCTTTGTAGATGGATACCTTATGGTATTCAACAGAGATCCTTCCTATGTAATGAACATAAAATGTGAAAATAAAAGCTCCTCAAAATCCAAGAACAGTGATCTTCTTAACTATGGTTCAGATGTTGTAGACATGTTTTGACTGCTAGGCAGCTGTCAAGACAACTTTTATATGCCTTTTAACATGATTATGTTATGTCATGCAGTCAGTTTTGTTTTAAGATAATAGATCTTTTTTACTTTTAAGGTAACAAATTGTAATTTTACAGCACCTGTTTCAACTCCTAGTAGTTTTCCTCTTCTCAAAATATCTTACTGATTAATTACTGAAGAATCATTATTTTTCATGGGAGATTTATTTTCATTAGTTTCGTGGGTACTCTTAATCCACAAATTCATATGTCCTTGAACTGAGCTATATTTATCCAAATACCCTTTCAATAGTGATTCTTTTAAAAACCATGAAAATTGAACACCACAAAAATACATGACTTTGCAGTATCTGTAAATTCAAACACGAAAATCATTGTAAATACAGATGTTTGCTTTTTATTTCAAAAGCTTTAAAATTTTGAAAATGATGGACTAATGTTTCAAGTGTTGAGGGTTTCAGAAGAAGAGTTTTCCTTATTTCCTTCTACAGCCGACTGCTTGGACATGTTCCAGTGTACAAATGGACGCTGCATTGACACTCAGCTTCAGTGTAACAACGTAGATGATTGTGGCGATTTTAGTGATGAAATTGTTGGAAACTGTGCACGTATGTTATAGTCAGTATACACTGTCTGAAAAACTATACTATAATACCAAGATCATGTGACCGGTCAGTTTTTATCCTTAACGGTTCTTATCTTGTCCTCTCTTATTAATAGGTTGGAAGTCAACCACCTCAATTGTCCAGTTAGAATATCGAAATATTTTCAGTGTGTGACTGATGTGATTTTGCTCTTGTTTATTGTCTTGTTGTTCTTTTACAAAAGAGTCACATCTATTGACCAAAGTTCTTATAATGCCTGATTCCTTGTGTACGGGGTGATGAGACTTCAGAGCTTAAGGTATTTGTCCCTGTGTTTGTGAAGAGTTGTTGATTCAGTGCATTGTATACAGTATGGCTGGTAAATTTGTGGGTCAAAATTTTCACAATTTTCTTCTAAAATGATCTAATATATTTTATTATATTCTATTAATGAATTAAAATTTTGTGCTCAGGACATAAATAGGACATCCTATACACAAATCCTCATTATTTCACTGACTGAATTCTTTGCAGTCTTTTTCATGTATCTTGAAGTAGCAAAAATATCGTCCACGCAAACATAACCGACCATAAGATATACAGAATTATATCATTTTTACCCAGCAATCTAATATCTTCAATATAGAATATGGAATTAGGCTTTACTGGGTTCAAATTTGAATTTTTTCAAGAATATAACTAAAGCATTTCAAATATTCATATGTATTTTATGATATTTACTGAATAACAGGAGCAATTTAGTATTTTTACTTGCTAAAATAATGTTATATGTTGTTTAGTAATTAACTGACCTTTTTATTGTACTCTAGGGCCTACACCTGATAGTGCTGAGGACCAGCCACTGGAGGTGAGGATAGTAGATGGAGACAAAGAGAACTCAGGCCGTGTGGAGATCCGTTACAGAGGAGAATGGGGTGTCATCTGTGATGATAAATGGGACATCAATGATGCCAGGGTCATCTGTCGAATGTTGGGATACAAGTAAGTCTGTGGTGCCTCATATGGCCCCATTGAAGCTTAATATAGAAATATTTAGTTAAGTTTGCACAGCAGAGATAGGGTTCTGACCTTTCAACTTAACAACCAGACACAACAGTCACCCAGGATTCATACTCTAAGGTGCCATATGCTAACCTAGATCTCTAACTCCATTTCTCTGCTGCGCCTACCTTGCAGACATTTCCATTCATAAGATGGGGTGGCTGTATCGAGATCAGTCTCATTTATAATACTGGGGAGAGAGGAACATTCAAGCTTTCCATTGATCAATCTATGAACAGTCATGCCTCACTCTCCATTGGGCCAATTGCAATACACTGTCACCGGAGTCGTTAAAGACAACACACGCTGAGGTTCTTGTTTCCACTACGTTTATTTGATATATAAAGTTGAAACCTACAAAGGCAAAACAAAGAACATCACAATACCAAAACGGAACATACATATCACTTACCAGGCCTCCCACCGCAGTTGCTATCCAAGTTCCCTTTGCAGAGGTATACATTTGTAAGCATACAAGTATAGCTGCTCTTGCTAGCATGGTCCGAGCTCGAGTGACGGATTGTTTAGGGACCGGGGTGGTATTAGGGGGTAAGTGGCGGGAATGCCTGTGACTCTCATGCCGGGTGCAGTGGTCAGTGCGTTGATGATGAGTAGTCGTCAGTGTCATAGGTCACGTCGTATATATTTACTGAACATGCACATGTACATGTACACAGGACATCACGTGGCACGATTACATTATTACAACACAGGTACATCGGTACGATGTATGTATAGGACCGGAATATGTATACAGATTCCATAAACCACATAGGTTACATCACCAACACCAGGTCAGCCATATACATATGGCTACACAGTACCCAAAAGGTCATGAATCCAACTCTAGGATCAAGAGGACAGAACTCATGGCACCAGGGGCTCGCACCTGTGTTGTCCGAGACCCGACTCTTTCAATGCTGGATGAGGTAAGACTAAGACAGTCCGCCTCATTCAAACAGGTCAACCTCTGAATGTTTAAATGTACAGACTTGGACGGAAACAGGGTGATACATTTGTTTGAACCCCCTTCTAAACAGGTCCTCCTATCTTTCATACCTTGTACGACTGCTTAGATTCACAATTGCTAGTCAGTCCTGGCCTCAGTTCTTATACAATAACCAAGAGCTCACGACCTGGCTACACAGCTGCCAGTCAATCTTGCTTCAGTCTGTCCATTGGCAAGTTTTCTCAGACCAACCCCAGCAATTTGATAGTGGCCTTAGCTGCAACACCTCAGGCTCACAGCCAACCCTATTTTCTACAAGCTTGAATAAAATTTCATAAAATTTGAATTCTATTGTTTGTATTCTGTTGTGTAAATTACTGTTTAGATTTATTTCATGGTATGGCACAATTCCCAAAATATAAAGTTTCCTCTTTCAATTTCTTTCTTAACTGATAATCAAAATGAGACTGAACAGACCTTTACAAATAATAGGAAACAAGCCACATTTGGTCGTCTGCCAAATGTTGGAATACCAATTAATCTGCCAGGACCATGTGGCAAACGTTGGGGTACATTAATAAGTCTGTAAATCTGCCAGGGTCGTCTGCTAATGTCAAGGTACATCTGCTGAATATTTGGGTATGAGTAAGTCTGTCAAGGTCATTTGGCATATGCTTAGGTACAAGTTAGTCTGTAAGGGTCATTGGGGTACAAGTAAGTCCATAAGTATGTTTGTAAGTCTTTTAGAGTTCTCTGCTGAATATTTGGGTATGAGTAAGTCTGTCAAGGTCATTTGGCATATGCTTAGGTACAAGTTAGTCTGTAAGGGTCATTGGGGTACAAGTAAGTCCATAAGTATGTTTGTAAGTCTGTTAGAGTTCTCTGCTGAATATTTGGGTATGAGTAAGTCTGTCAAGGTCATTTGGCATATGCTTAGGTACAAGTTAGTCTGTAAGGGTCATTGGGGTGCAAGTAAGTCCATAAGTATGTTTGTAAGTCTGTTAGAGTTCTCTGCTGAATATTTGGGTATGAGTAAGTCTGTCAAGGTCATTTGGCATATGCTGGGGTACAAGTTAGTCTGTAAGGGTTATCTGTCAAAGGTTAGGATTCAAGTAAGTCTATAAGTAAGTTTGTAAGTCTGCTAGATTTCTGTGCCAATGGTTTGGTTACAAGTAAGTCCATAAGTATGTTTGTAAGTCTGTTAGAGTTCTCTGCCAATGGTTTGGTTACAAGTAAGTCCATAGGTAAGTTTGTAAGTCTGTTAGAGTTCTCTGCCAATGGTTTGGTTACAAGTAAGTCCATAGGTAAGTTTGTAAGTCTGTTAGAGTTCTCTGCCAATGGTTGGGGTACAAGTAAGTCCATAGGTAAGTTTGTAAGTCTGTTAGAGATCTCTGCCAAAGGTTGGGGTACAAGTAAGTCCATAGGTAAGTTTGTAAGTCTGTTAGAGATCTCTGCCAAAGGTTGGGGTACAAGTAAGTCCATAGGTAAGTTTGTAAGTCTGTCAAAGTCATCTGCTGAATGCTGAACATTATCAAGAAAAAACCAACATGGCAACATAATCATTATTCAAATTCAAATTCCATAACATTAGGACAAGATATGAAAAAAAGAAAGATTTACATGGAGACTACACATAGAGTACCATCTGCATGCATGGATACTTGTTAATCATACAATGAGGTCATCATTTAATAAAAATGTAACAAGAAATTCCTGAACTTATGTAATGCTTTCCTGAACTTATGTAATTCTTTCCTATAAGCAATTTTAAGTTAAACAAATTTCTTAAGTTAAGGAAAATTTATAAAATTGGAGCCAGTTAGTTATAGGTCATCTTTATAATGTGAAACAGCCTTATTTAAGGTCAACTCTATATTACTTGTATAATTTCATTTTAAGGTCTTTCTGAAGTGGTATATTAAGATAACTGGGTATTCTTTGATAGAGAGGGATATTTGGATTGCCTTGATAGTGATAATTGGAATACCTGTTAGAGTAACTAATTGTCATTAACTGGATAACATAATAACATTATCTGCTTTTGATAGCATAAATCTTCAGTTATATCATGGAAACCTTTGAGATATCTCACCTAGATACCATTGATAATTGTTCGGCATGAAAAAAAACACAATCCTACCAACAAGTTGGTTCTGTTTGGTTATTTCACCATTTTACTGCTAAATAACTAGACAATTGAATCTTATTCTCTGAAATTCTTGTTTTAGAAATGATCGTTTTGTTAATCAGCAAGACTTTGTAGAGTCACTATTACAGTGAATTAAAATTATTTGTTCTCTTTGTACAGCAATGCTAATAAGGCCACCCACATGTCAGAGTTTGGATCTGGAAATGGAAATTTTCTGTTGGATGATGTTGGCTGTATGGGAAATGAAACAACAATTGAGGACTGTTCTAAGCCAAGATGGAGAGAACACAATTGTAAAATGTATGAAGTAGCCGGAGTGGAGTGTAACTCAGGAAAGGGAATCGGTAAGTATGAACAAGCAGGATTTTAGTGTAACTCAGGAAAAGGAATTGCACACAAGCTGAGGTGGGATGTAACTCAGGAAGGGGGATTGGTTAGTATGAACAAGCAGGATTCTAGTGTAACTCAGGAAAGGGGATTGGTTAGTATGAACAAGCAGGATTCTAGTGTAACTCCGGAAAAGGAATTGCATACAAGCTGAGGTGGGATGCAACTCAGGAAGGGGGATTGGTTAGTATGAACAAGCAGGATTCTAGTGTAACTCAGGAAGGGGGATTGGTTAGTATGAACAAGCAGGATTCTAGTGTAACTCAGGAAAGGGGATTGGTAAGTATAGACAAGCTGGGATGGGATGTCACTCAAGATAGGGGATTGGTAAGTAATGACAAGCAGGCCTGGGATGTCACTCAGGAAAGGGGATTGGTAAATATAGACAAGCTGGCCTGGGATGTCACTCAGGAAAGGGGATTTGTAAGTATAGACAAGCAGGGCTGGGATGTCACTCAGGATAGGGGATTGGTAAATATAGACAAGCTGGGATTGGATGTCAATTTGGAAAGGGGATTTGTAAGTATAGACAAGCAGAATTCTAGTGTAACTTAGGAAAGGAGATTGGTAAATATAGATAAGCTGGGATGGGATGTCACTCAGGAAAGGGGATTTGTAAGTATAGACAAGCAGAATTCTAGTGTAACTTAGGAAAGGAGATTGGCAGGGATAGAAAAGCTTGGGTGGGATGTAACTTAGGAGAGGGGATTGGTAGGGGTAGACAAGCTTGGGTGGGATGTAACTTAGGAGAGGGGATTGGTAGGGGTGGACAAGCTTGGGTGGGATGTAACTTAGGAGAGGGGATTGGTAGGGGTGGACAAGCTTGGGTGGGATGTAACTTAGGAGAGGGGATTGGTAAGCATAAACAATACAACAATAAGGACACAACAAAGGACCAGGAACATGTCCCAGATTTGACTTCTTAGAAGGCATACAAATACTTACTTCACTCCAATAAAGATTGGTCAGTAACACAAAGTAATTGTTCTGTCTTTTCAGTATGTGTGAGTGGGGAGTTCAGCTGTACCAAGTCTGAGAAGTGTATTTCAGCCTCCCTTGTGTGTAATGGTGATGATGACTGTGGGGACCAGACTGATGAACAGGACTGTGGTATGTATTGGTGAAGTCTGTAGTATGCAGATGTGTAATCTATAGACTGTAGTTTCTATTGCATTATGTTTCAAAACATTTTAGTGCATTCCACATGGCAGGCTTTAAATAATTAATTTGTTCAAAAGTAGAACAAAGAAAATTACACAAATCTATAATCTTGAAATACCTCTGTACTGTATATTACATTTCCTTGTACAGTCCCACAAGTAAGGTTGGTGGCAGGCACCTCAGAGAGAAATGGACGGGTAGAACTTACCTTGAATGGTGTGACTGGCACAATTTGTGATGATTCCTGGGACGACAATGACGCCAGCGTGGTCTGCAGAATGCTTGGATATCAGTAAGATGCTTTCATTTTTGTAGTTAATTTCTGGTTAAACTATAAAACATAAAGACCATGAAAAACTTAGAGAATATGGAAATATCAATGTTCACAAAGTCTAGGATATAGTGAATAGGATGGAGTGAAATGTTCTATCCTCATTACACAGCTAGGATTGAATAAAATATTGATTCCTATCCACATTACACAGCTAGGATTGAATAAAATATTGATTCCTATCCACATTACACAGCTAGGACTGAGAGAAATGAAGTGAAATGTTCTATCCAGATCACAAAGCTTTGATTGAGTGAAATAATCTATTCACATCACACATCTAGAATTAAATCTGATTAAAATATTAAACATTGAAATCTGACAGGTTCGGTGGACTGGCAAAAGAGTTAACATACGGTGCAGGAAAAGGTGTTATCTGGATGGACGATGTGGAATGTACAGGAGAGGAGACATCACTGGCGCATTGTGCGAGGAGTGCATGGGGGACTCATAATTGTAACCATGAAGAGGATGCAGGAGTGTCATGTCTACATCATGCTCCTACTACAATTTCACCTGTATTAGGTAATACAATATACCCTACACATGATATATTGTTTAGATGTGAAACATAACACATGCTGCACCTGTATTATATAGATATAATACCTTACCAGTTTAATACATCACGCTTTTATAGGTGTGAAACCTTGATAGTTACATATCACATACAATAATCACCTGATCCTTCATTGTCCTCCCCAGCTATACAGGTGTGATACTTTGTTAGTAACCTGTCACAGACAATAATCACCTGATCCTTCATTGTCCTCCCCAGCTATACAGGTGTGATACCTTGTTAGTAACCTGTCACAGACAATAATCTGATCCTTTGTCCTCCCCAGCTATACAGGTGTGATACCTTGTTAGTAACCCTGATCCTTCATTGTCCTCCCCAGCTATACAGGTGTGATACCTTGTTAGTAACCTGTCACAGACAATAATCACCTGATCCTTCATTGTCCTCCCCAGCTATACAGGTGTGATACCTTGTTAGTAACCTGTCACAGACAATAATCACCTGATCCTTCATTGTCCTCCCCAGCTATACAGGTGTGATACCTTGTTAGTAACCTGTCACAGACAATAATCACCTGATCCTTCATTGTCCTCCCCAGCTATACAGGTGTGATACTTTGTTAGTAACCTGTCACAGACAATAATCACCTGATCCTTCATTGTCCTCCCCAGCTATACAGGTGTGATACCTTGTTAGTAACCTGTCACAGACAATAATCACCTGATCCTTCATTGTCCTCCCCAGCTATACAGGTGTGATACCTTGTTAGTAACCTGTCACAGACAATAATCACCTGATCCTTCATTGTTCTCCCCAGCTATACAGGTGTGATACCTTGTTAGTAACCTGTCACAGACAATTATCACCTGATCCTTCATTGTCCTCCCCAGCTATACAGGTGTGATACCTTGTTAGTAACCTGTCACAGACAATAATCACCTGATCCTTCATTGTCCTCCCCAGCTATACAGGTGTGATACCTTGTTAGTAACCTGTCACAGACAATAATCACCTGATCCTTCATTGTCCTCCCCAGCTATACAGGTGTGATACCTTGTTAGTAACCTGTCACAGACAATAATCACCTGATCCTTCATTGTCCTCCCCAGCTATACAGGTGTGATACCTTGTTAGTAACCTGTCACAGACAATAATCACCTGATCCTTCATTGTCCTCCCCAGCTATACAGGTGTGATACCTTGTTAGTAACCTGTCACAGACAATAATCACCTGATCCTTCATTGTTCTCCCCAGCTATACAGGTGTGATACCTTGTTAGTAACCTGTCACAGACAATAATCACCTGATCCTTCATTGTCCTCCCCAGCTATACAGGTGTGATACCTTGTTAGTAACCTGTCACAGACAATAATCACCTGATCCTTCATTGTCCTCCCCAGCTATACAGGTGTGATACCTTGTTAGTAACCTGTCACAGACAATAATCACCTGATCCTTCATTGTTCTCCCCAGCTATACAGGTGTGATACCTTGTTAGTAACCTGTCACAGACCATAATCACCTGATCACCTGACCCTTCTTTTGTCCTCCCCAGTTATTCAAGTGGAGCTTGAAGGTGGAAGTAACACTGAGGGCCGCCTGATGGCCACTGTTGGTGGCCAACGTGGTACTGTGTGTGATGATGAATTCGATGATAATGCTGCCACAGTTGTCTGCAGGATGCTTGGATTTGAGTTGCAAGTTTCTGCATGTTCAATAACAGATTTTTGTTTTTTGTTTTAAATAACGACAGAAAAATTACTAATATGAAAATGTACAACACTTCAATTTCAATCTAATGTATAAGAAATTTTAGGTAAGGTATACAGCTTTGTGACTTTCATGTCTGTAGCATTAATGATGAATTAATTGTTATAATGTGTACAATCTGTATTGTATAGCTTTTCTTAAATAAACTATATTAGCCTCATCCCTATTCTAGTCACCTTTGTGATAGCCAAGTCAGCAGTATGTATAAAAGATGAAAAGTTTCAGCATTGATAAATTCAATTTTGTGATTATTTATTGATTTATTCAAGACCTAAATTTTTTACTTTCCTATCAGCTTCTAAAAATAACATTCATCGTTGTCTGTCGGAACTTATATATAGGAAAGTAACTTAATTTAGTGTAAAGTTAGGTCATAGGGTCAAATTAGAACAGAAATAAACATGGATTAATTGAATCCAATTTAAGGAAGAAATTGTGAAATGTTGATGGCTAGAGCGTCAAACGATTTTATATGGATTTTTAAAAATTTTGTTCACAATAACAAAAGTCAATTGAAATAATTCCACAAATTACGTGGGTTTTCAGCTCATTTAGTGAGAGTTTTGTTTTTATTGGTAACATGTTTCTGGATGTTTAAAAGAGTCAGAGTAGGTAGGAGAAGGGAAATATGGTGCTTGAACATTACTGGACTTTGTTCATTCCTTTTGATTTTTTACCTTTCCAGAGGAGTAAAGACGGACAAATTTGGTGAAGGGTCTGGTACCATTGTTTTAGATGATGTGCGGTGTGATGGCACAGAGAGGTCCCTGTCAAATTGTTCATACAAAACTGTTCACAACTGTGGTCACTCAGAAGATGTTGGTGTAGAGTGTTTCCAGCAACACACCTTAGGTTAGTTTTCTGTTATGGCGGTGTATCATGTCACTAGCAACAGAACCTAGATAAGTTTTCTCTAATGGAGGTGTACCATGTTGCTGGCAACACACCCTAGGTAAGTTTTCTCTAATGGAGGTGTATCTTGTCACTAGCAACAGATCCTAGATAAGTTATCTCTAATGGAGGTGTGGCAACACACCCTTAAGTTTTCTCTAATGGAGGGGTATTTTGCACTCACACACACCCTATGTAAGTTTTCTCTAATGGAGGTGTATCTTGTCACTAGCAACAGATCCTAGAGAAGTTTTCTCTAATGTTTTCTGGCAACACACCCTAGGTAAGTTTTCTCTAATGGAGGTGTATCTTGTCACTAACAACAGATCCTAGATATGTTTTCTCTAATGGAGGTGTATCTTGTCACTAGCAACAGATCCTAGATAAGTTATCTCTAATGGAGGTGTATCTTGTCACTAGCAACACACCCTATGTAAGTTTTCTCTAATGGAGGTGTATCTTGTCACTAGCAACACACCCTAGGTAAGTTTTCTCTAATGGAGGTGTATCTTGTCACTAGCAACAGATCCTAGATATGTTTTCTCTAATGGAGGTGTATCTTGTCACTAGAAACAGATCCTAGATAAGTTTTCTCTAATGGAGGTGTATCTTGTCACTAGCAACACACCCTAGATAAGTTTTCTCTAATGGAGGGGTACCATGTCGCTGGCAACACACCCTAGGTAAGTTTTCTCTAATGGAGGGGTATCTTGTCACTAGCAACAGATCCTAGATAACTTTTCTCTAATGGAGGGGTACCATGTCGCTGGCAACACACCCTAGATAAGTTTTCTCTAATGAAGGTGTATCTTGTCACTAGCCACAGATCTTAGATACGTTTTCTCTAATGGAGGTGTATCTTGTCACTAGAAACAGATCCTAGATAAGTTTTTTCTAATGGAGGTGTATCTTGTCACTAGCAACACACCCTAGATAAGTTTTCTCTAATGGAGGTGTATCTTGTCACTAGCAACACACCCTAGGTAAGTTTTCTCTAATGGAGGTGTATCTTGTCACTAGCAACACACCCGAGGTAAGTTTTCTCTAACAGAGGTGTATCTTGTCACTAGCAACACACCCTAGGTAAGTTTTTTTCTAATGGAGGTGTATCTTGTCACTAGCAACACACCCGAGGTAAGTTTTCTCTAATGGAGGTGTATCTTGTCACTAGAAACAGATCCTAGATAAGTTTTCTCTACTAGAGGTGTACCATGTCGCTGGCAACACACCCTAGGTAAGTTTTCTCTAACTGTGGTATATCCTTTGCCTCGGTTATCTAGGAAAATAGTATCATCAAACTCAATAAGATTTCATTGAAAAAATAATGTTGCTTGGAAATAAGAAACAAAAATGTTTTTTTTACAATGATCATTATGACATGAAATCATGAAAGTTGTTTTTAAGAGAAAAATAACAAAATGATAATATGACAGAATATTTGAGAAATTTTTATATCACAAATGCCTAAAAGCTTTATTTTTCTGCATGGGTGATTACTTGTTAGTTTACTAATCTGTTTTTCAGTTGATCAGTTGTACCTGGTGGATGGACCAGGGCCACATGCTGGACGAGTTCAAGTTCAGCACAATAGAGTAAATGGAACTGTGTGTGATGATGAGTTTGGCGAAGAAGATGCTAGAGTAGTGTGCAGCATGCTTGGATTTACGTAGGCTAAGCCTGAGTTCTTAGTTTATATGTATGATAAGATCATAAATAAATGCCATTGGACAAACTTATTTATGATCATCTCATTTTAGTGCATTATCAGTGTTGAACAAATAAGCACAATGATAAATTTGTATGTACAATAATTGTGATATCACAACATATAAAAACTGGAATTAGTGCAATCATAGTAAGGTGCAGTATCTTTGATATAATAAGTGCTAATATATATAAGTATACAGTATTATGTAGACTAAATTGTAGCAGTTTAAACTAGCTACACATCAACATATCAAATTGGTGACTGAGGACTGGTTTCATCAAAGGCCACATAATTGAGACATCTCTTCAAGATATTAATTTGACATACTGTGGTTTCTATTCATTAACTGTAAGGACATTTTTTGTTGATGTTGTTGATTGTTCTTTCTTGTAATACCACTAAAATGTAGAAGACATTATCTTGTACCAAAATAATATATTTGTACATGTATTTTCCAAGTCTAACCACTAGTAATTGTTAAATAGATGCAGTAAGTATTTCTTAAAAGCATCTAATGTATTTTTAATGGACATTTTATTGATTTATAGCTATTTTTAGATAAACTGTGACCTGTTACGTGGCCAAAAAGGAATAGAGAACAGATTTTTATTTCATTCATGGAAATGCTGTAGTCAGTTTCATTAATTGTAACTTTGCGTAAATTCATTTAGATGTACCAATATTTTCAATGTGTTTCAAACTGAAATTTAAAACTACTAGTGATATATATTTGTTGCAGTGGAGGAACGGTTGTTGAACTATATGGCCCAGGTGAAGGCAAAATCTGGCTAGATAATGTAAACTGTGTGGGGTCAGAGAAAAGCCTGTTTGACTGTGAGGCTAGGGATTGGGGGTTACATGATTGTAGCCATGAGGAGGATGTGGGTGTGTCATGTGATGAAGAGTCAGTGACCAGTACTGGCCGCCCCACTGACCCACCTCAGGACAGGGGTATGCTTTTAATAGAAGTGATTTCCATACATGTAATTTGTCATGATCGCAAATGATTTCTTTCCTTTGAAAAATTGTTGATTTTTTTTTTTGTTAAATTTCTAATTCTTAAATTGAACTTCAAACAGTCATGCCACATCCTAGATATGTAAAAAATGTTCATCATAATACCTATGTTCCATTTGCTGTAGATATTGTGGTATTGGTGGGTGGAGAAGGTCCACATGAAGGTCGGGTACAGGTCCTACATAATAATGTCAACGGAACTGTGTGTGACGATGGATTTGAAGACGATGAAGCAGGCGTTCTTTGTAGGATGTTAGGATACAGGTAATTGGATAAAGTTTTGTCAGATTATAAAACAGATTGGAAACCACTTATTATCATGTTCCATTTGTCAGAGGAAAATGTGATGATAAGTGGAATGTGACATTAACAGTTGACACTTTTTTTCGGACATGAAAACCTGAAAATTAATTTTTTTGGTGCACCAATTGACTTGTTTCTAGTAGAAATTGTTTGCAGACAAAAATGTGTAATCTGATTTGTTTTCCCCATAAGAATAGTGATATACATATACCTTATATAGATATATATATATAGATACAGTGTATATCTCTACAACTTTGGTGATATTAAGCATTGCCCACATGAAAATAAATGACATTATCAGATGTAGGATTACACTTGAAGAGAAAAAAAGTCAGAGTTTCAAGATAACATGATATTAAAAGGAAAAAGACATTAACTGATGTGACATGAAGTAATTTCCATGCTTTTATAAAATGAATAGGTGTGCAGTAAAGGATAATAAAGTATAAGATGAAAAAGTGTATGATTAAACAGAGTAGGATGATATTGTGTAGGATGAAGGATGATAAGGTGCAGCATGGTAACTTGAATGGTACAGGATAAAAGGTTTAGGAAAATAAAGTATAGGATGAAGAAAGATTAGATATAGGATGAAGGATGATAAGGTGTAGGATGGTAACTTGAATGATGTAGGATGGAAAGATATAGGATAAAAAGGTGTTGGATGGAAAGATATAGGATAAAAGGGTGTTGGATGGAAAGATATGGATAAAAAGGTGTTGGATGGAAAGATATAGGATAAAAAGGTGTTGGATGGAAAGATATAGGATAAAAAGGTGTTGGATGGAAAGATATAGGATAAAAAGGTGTTGGATGAATAGGTGTATGATTAAGGTAATAAGGCATGAATGAAAAATGATAATGTGTAGCTTGAAGAATGATAATATGTATGATGTATAATAGTAAGACGAATGGTAAATGGTGAAAATTTGGAGGATGATATTGCTTAAGGTGAAGGATGACAATAGAAAGGATTAGGATGATAATGTATAGAATGTAGGATGATAATGTATAGGATGTAGGATGGTGATGTATAGGATGTAGGATGGTGATGTATAGGATGTAGGATGATAATGTGTAGGATGTAGGATGGTAATGTATAGGATGTAGGATGGTAACGGATAGGATGTAGGATGGTAATGGATAGGATGTAGGATGGTAATGTGTAGGATGTAGGATGGTAATGGATAGGATGTAGGATGGTAATGGATAGGATGTAGGATGGTAATGGATAGGATGTAGGATGGTAATGTATAGGATGTAGGATGATAATGTAAAGGATGTAGGGTGATAATGTATAGGATGTAGGATGATAATGTAAAGGATGTAGGATGATAATGTATAGGATGTAGGATGATAATGTATAGGATGTAGGATGATAATGTATAGGGTGTAGGATGATAATGTATAGGCTGTAGGATGATAATGTATAGGATTGAGGGTGATAATGTATAGGATGTAGGAAGATAATGTATAGGGTGTAGGATGATAATGTATAGGCTGTAGGGTGATAATACATAGGATGTAGGATGATAATGTAAAGGATATAGGATGATAATGTATAGGGTGTAGGATGATAATGTATAGGGTATAGGGTGATAATGTATAGGATGTAGGATGATAATGTATAGGGTGTAGGGTGATAATGTAAAGGATGTAGGATGATTATGTACAGGATATAGGATGGTAATGTATAGGATGTAGGATGATAATGTAGGGTGATAAGGATAGGATGTAGGATGATAATGTAAAGGATGTAGGATGATAATGTATAGGATGTAGGGTGATAATGTAAAGGATGTAGGATGATTATGTACAAGATATAGGATGGTAATGTATAGGATGTAGGATGATAATGTATAGGATATAGGATGGTAATGTATAGGATGCAGGATGATAATGTATAGATGATAATGTATAGGATGTAGGATGATAATGTATAGGATGTAGGATGATAATGTAAAGGATGTAGGATAGTAGGGATGATCAAGCTTAGTACACAATTGCAGGGTATAAAAGAGTAAAGATAAGGATGACCTGGTCTTCTGTTGTAGAATAATAATACTGAATGATAAAGTGTTGGAGAGGAAATGGATGAAAGAGGACTGAGACTCATTCCTAAGGCTCATCTTCAAATACTGGTTTTTTTAATTTAAGTTGTTAGAGAATGATGGTGTGATTTGATAGACTTGTTATTAATGCTGTCATTCTTTGTATCCCAGGTAAACATCTCATCATACTTCTTCTGTGTTCTTTTCTATAAAAGGAATGGTTACGTGGTGAACACAGAATATTTCGGTCCTGGTGTTGGTAAGATTTGGTTGGATGATGTGAATTGTGATGGAACAGAGTCAAGTTTGTTTGACTGTGATGGTATTGAGTGGGGTATCCACAACTGTAACCATGGTGAAGATGTCGGTGTGAAGTGCCAGAAACATATTACCACCACCACCACACAAGTATATGAAGGTATGTTACACCCGTTGTCATCTTGTCCGATCATGTTGCACTTCCTTCTAATTTATTGCATTCTGAATCAATATCGTATATAGAGTACTTTCCAACTGATTTGATATCATCTATTAATCATATTCATCACATATTATCATAACATTTATGTTTCAATAGACAAATTGAATTATCTCAATAGAGGCTTCTTGTCACATTTATCACCATCCTGTGACTCTTTGTCCCCAAGGGACTGTGATGGTTGAGTGGTTAAGGCATCTGACCACCTTTATCACTAGCCCTCCACCTCTGAGTTGCAGACTTGTGGGGCAGTCACCAGTTACTGGTGGTAGGTCGGTGGTTTTTCTTGGGGAACTCAGACTTTCCTCCACCAACCAAACCTGGGATGTCCTTGAATGATCCTGGATGTTTATAGGACGTAAAGCAACAATAGCCCAACGTATACCTAATAAGATTCTGGTTAGCATAAAAGTCTTATAATAGCACTGTTCTTGTTTTATGTTAGGTGTAGCATTGAATTATCCAAGGTTAACTGTGCCTTTTACAGTGGGTGACATTTTCATGATTTTAAATTTTTATCAGAATGACTGGTCATCCATTGTTTTATATATTCTACTGTAAATTTGTTAAATTGAATGATTCAGATATTATATTTTACATAGTAAATATTTGCTGCCTTTTTAATTTGAATTATCTTTAATCTCAGAGAAAGAAAATATCAAAGCTAAATTCTACATAAATATGAATATGATAAACTGTTCCTGATTTCAAAAAGGACAAAATTCTTGTCTTCGGAATTTCCTATTAGGAATAGGATTTCAATGTATTGACTCCGTTTGGTTGTGATTCCACGTAATGAATCCTCCTTTTGAATTTTCTGCTCACACTATTGGCTCTGTTGATGTTGTTCTGTATCAGAGAAATACATGTTCTATAGAAGTCATAATGTCCGTCCGTCTGTCCATCTGAAGCCAAGTTGTTTTCTTGAGGTTAACTTATAATCCTCCAATTGAAAAAAAAAACCTAAAAAATTCCTGAAAATTCAAGATGTTGGCTTTTCCCATAATAGAAATATTTTGTGAAAAAATTTGAAGGAATGTTTTTCTTATATTGCATTTTTTATTTTTCTGTAGATACCATCAGCCTGGTTGGAGGGACAGGGGTTTACGAAGGCAGAGTTGTCATTCACCATGGTGGTGTGGCAGGAACTGTTTGTGATGACATGTTTGAGGATGTTGATGCAGGAGTAGTTTGTAGAATGTTGGGATTTAGGTATGATCAAAAATACTATGTATTAAAAATATGATTAAGTGCCTCTAAATCTGTTGTGATCCAACCATTTCACATCCTCAGATTTGAGAACACATACCAAATTAAGTTGAATGAAACATTTCATTTACCAGTAAAATATTTTGAACATTAGAAAGAAAACATATTTTATCATTATTGCATTGTTATTCACTGAATGTACCAATGTCATTTTTTGTGTATTTTCACATCTGATATGTGATGTCACATTAGATAATGAAATTATGTCACACATTCATAGTTGGCATAGTGACATAACAATGGAGACCACAGTTTAGAAAGGACATGACTTAAGCCTGACTGAAAAATGTCCATTTTCTACCAAATTTATTTTAAAAAATGATACGATTACAAGGATTCATTTGATGTGTGATTTTATGAAACTTGTCACCGATTTTTCATTTTATCTCGCCAAAGGGTCGCTGAAATGAAAAAAATTCTTAGATTTGTGTCATAAATTTGAGGTTTTTTAATGTAAAACCAATTTTCATGATGTAATACTTACCATAACTTTAGTATGCAAATACAGTACCTACACCCATCTTTGTATCCCAACAACAAAAGATTCAAAAGAAAAACAATCCCGCCCTCCCTACGATCCATGAGCCATCACGGCAGGAACGCAGAGTGATCTCCCTTCCTCTAATAACCTTTATGGCGTAAACCCCACAGAGGGGCAGCCAGGCAGATAAGGAAGAGGGGAGGATAGGGTGGGACTCCATAAAGTTATGGTAAGTATTACATCATGAAAATTGGTTTTACATTAAAAAACCTCAATTTCATTTCAGTAATAATTACCATAACTTTAGTATGCGAATTCGTCTTACCGTAGTGGTGACTAGAAGCCAGGCAGCCCCTTCAACACAACCAAAGTAGTAGGGAGGGAGAACAGAGTGCTAAAGTGAAGGAAGGGACCTCTCTGTGAAAGAGCAGGTGTACCCACATGCCGCCGTACGGAAAGACATGGCCCGGGGCTAACGAGGAGGCCCAGCCACTGACTATGCCACCACCAAAGGTCCCAATGAATACAGGCCTTCTGAGTGGGAAGCTAGGGATCACAGATAAAAATCTGTTAAGGTATCCCTGCCCTGCCAGAATACTGCAGACATGACCTCCTGAAAGGAGGACTCATTGAGAGAAGGGCCCAGGATGAAGCAAGGGCCCTGACCTCGTGAGACCGCGCTTTCGCTCTCGCCCGAGCCAGATCATCAAAATGCTCGTAAGCATACTAAATCACCTGGCAAACCCACCTGGAAACCGACTGGGAGGAGATATCTCATTGCCCCTGTTTAATGGGCAAAACAGACGGGATCGAGAGCCCCGCCCCCCCCCCCTGGTTTTATCAAGATAAAACCTAAGAGCCCGACAAGGACAAAGCAACCTATCTCGCTCCTCCGAGCTAGTCACAGCCAGGATCCTGATGGGATCGTGCGAGAACCCCGGAACCTGATTCTTCGCTAAAAACAACTCTATTCATAGCAAATCCTCTGATTAGGGCAGAAAGAGAGGAGGACTAACCGATCTCCTTCCTGCCATAACAAGCAAGAACTCTGGCAATAGCTGTACGATAGCCAGCAATAGTGCCAGGTGGCAGATAGCGGTACCTAAACAGAGAGATTAGGAATTCCGCAATCAAATGCAGAGGCTTCGAATGAATAAGCTTCCTTGCCGACACACCAATCACAGAAGATCATCCAACGTGACTGGTAAACGGCAGAAGAGGAAGCCCTGATTGATTGCTCAATGCAATCTGACACCTCTTGAGAAAAGCCTGCCTTGGCGTGGCTTCCAGAGATAGCCTCAGCGCGTGAAGGTGGAGGATTTCTGGTCAAGAGTGTGTCGTTCTGGGCCAAGGCTGGCGAAGGAGATTCGGTCTGGTGGGGAGAGCCAAGGGCTCCTCCACCAGAAACGACAAGAGCTCCTGAAACCAAGCTTGCCTCGGCCACAGATGGGCTCTCAGAAGTAAGGAGCAGTGATGCTCCCAGAACTTCTGTAGAACCCTGCCCACCAGGTTGAAGGGAGGGAATGCATATGCATACGTCCCTTCCTATTCCAGAGAAAGGGCGTCCACAGCCCACGCCTTACGGTCTGGGACCGGGGAGACGAAGGTTAGCAGCTGGTTGTTCAGGGAAGTGGCAAACAGGTCTATAATAGGTCTGTCCCACGCCTGACAATTCCCCTTGAAAATCAAGGGACACAGCTGCCATTCCGTCAACACCGGCTGGTGGCGCCTGGAGAGTGGCCACCAACACACTCAGCCTGCCAGAAAGATGCTTGACCGCTATGGTCAACTGCATGTCCTGGCAGAGAAGATGGATGTGGATGGAGAGGGCACACAGGACATGAGACCTGGTGGCCCCTGTCTCTCCAGATACGCGACAACTGTTGTCGGTAGCCACAATTTGGACTGCAGGATACCCCTAAAGGACTGCAGAGCCAAATGAACAGTCTCATCTCGAGTACACTGATGTGCTCCGTGAGTTGTTCGCCAGACCACTCCCCCAAGCGGCATTGGCCATCGAGGTAAGCTCACATTCCTGTCATGAACGCGTCCATGAACAGGATCATAGAGGGGATAGGCTTGGTCAGAGGTACCCCGTGGAAAACGTTCTCCTAAATGGTCCACCAGCAAGAGAACTCCCTGACCGACTGGGTAAGCGGGATCCAGGCCTCCTGGATGACGGAACCCAGTCAGACAGGAGGAACATCTGGAGAGGTCCGATGTGAATCCTCCCTAGGGGGACCACATATGCCAAGGAGTTGAGATACCCCAGAAAACTGAGGAACCAATGTACCTGGACAAGCGACCAAGTGATGAAAGTCAGAGCCAGAGCCCTGACCTTCTCAAACTTCTCCAGAGGTGGAAGGGCTAAGCCCCGAACCATGTCAAAATGGTTCCCCAGGAAGAAGAAGTCCTAATATGAAGGAACCTCTGACTTCTCTCTGGAAGGAATGAAGCCGACTCTGAGCAAGAGTTTCAGGACCAGACGAGTGTCCTTCACTAACGATTCCCACACCAAAAGAGGCATGAGGGAGTCGTCGAAATAGATGTGGACGTCTATTCTGCAGGAGTGAACACCAAAGGAGCTGTCGTGAGCCCCAAGGGCATCTCTGCCTTGGCAGCATGGTCCCTACTTCCTCCTGGAGCACCCGTGCCCTTTCTGAATCCCCGGGAGGAGGAAAGAAACAAAAACGGCCAGGAGGCGAGGGACGAATCCTGAAGAAGGGGAATACCTAGACCCTCCCTGACCACCGACAAAAGTCCAAGCGTCCTCTGTAATATCCTGCCACTAGGAAAGGAAAGCAGAGAGACGTCCGCCCACAGGGAGTTCCGGATGGGGCAGATCGAGCCCCTGCCAGACCAGAGAATCGTCTGCCCACCCGGAGCCTGAGCCTGCAGGAGAAGGACATGAGCCCGGGAAAGGAGAACCACAGGTCCACCCGGCCATACCCTTCGCCTTTCGTTGCCAAGAAGCAGAAATAGTCAGGAACCCTTCTTCTTGCCCCCAGGAGGTTTCTTACCCTTCCTACCCTTCCCCTTGTTGCCGTTGAAGTGAGGTTGGGACTTGGGCTGTGCAGAAAACTGAGCAGCCGAAGACTTCGCCTTCTTCTTAGGAGGCACTGACCCCTGCGAGGCACTGGCCTTCTCAGCCTGAAACCTCTTCACCAGAAGTGCTGAGGCGACCGAGTCCTCCTTCATATCCTTCTGAACCCAAGGAAGAGCTCCCCTGAACAGGGTAGAGCCCTAGAAGGGGGCATTCAACAAGCGGAAACGGTAGGGTTACTGGACTGGGCAGAATTTCAGAACTGAAAACTGCCTAGCCAACACGGCATTGACGAGCAGAGAACCTGCAAGGCTGCCGTGTCCTGTATGTCGGCTGTTCTGTCTCGGATAACCGACACTCAGGCAAATCGGATACCCTGTATAGACAAACTGTCAGGAAGTCTATGTATGACAGAACTTGGATGGAGAGGTGCAACATTCTCTCCATCCTGTGGTGCTCTTTGGGATCGAGCACCACCTGGTCCACTGATTTGCCGGGCCAGGCAGCCAGCTGTCTCAACTCCAGCTGTGCTGGTTGAGAGGCCAGCTGCCCATCATGTGTGGCATAGTCGGAAGCTGAAGCCTCCGACAATTCACCAACACTGAGCTGCAGACCGACAAACCCGGGAGCACGGGTAGAGAAGGAGTCCTTCTCTAAAACCGGAGCCCGGGCCGTGGCCAGAACTGAAGACATGATATTGCCTTCTGGCAGAGACCGATCTGAGCGAACGGAAGCCCGAGGAGCCACCAGGGAACCCAGAAGGATGGTGGATTCAGGCGCCGACGATGCTGAGGCGGTGGGCAAACCTCCGCCCTGAGAATCCGGGAGATGTTGGCCCGGAGGACCCGCATCCCAGAAAGCACATGCTGAGCCTCAGCTTCAGCAGTCTCAGGGCCATCTTCCCCTTGTGAACCCTCTTGGCCCAGGAGAAAGATGAATGACATCGTCTTCCTCTGCCGAGCCCGCACCCTCGATGTCCATCTCCTCCTCAATAGAGACCGAAGTCCCCTTGGGAGGAACAGGGGCCGCCAGAGGAGCCATCTCCGCAGAGGGGAACTCCTCTTTATGGCATTTGGACGCAGCGCGACCAACAGCTGTAGCTGTAGGCTTGGGTCGGAGACCCGAAGCCGACCCCTGGGAACAGGAGACCGACGGGTCCGCGCTGGAGGCGGAAGTCCTTAAGGTCTGGCAAACCTTTATAGGACCGGCCAACAAGGCCCCCGAAGTAGCAGAACATTGGGGGGATTCTGCACTGCTATAACATCTCCTAGAGGAGAGACCAACCCCTATGGGTTCCACGAGTGAAGACCCATGGGGTAAAAACCCAAACCCCTGAGGGAATGGGAACGGTCCAGCGGGCCGGGAGTGACCCCAGAACTGGCCAAGATGGCCTGCCTGAGTCTGGGGCTGGACATCCTGTCCAAAGGACCAGGATGAACCGCCACTCCCACCA